ACTTTACTATAGTAAAAAAAGCCCAAGTGTGACCTCAGCCAATATATCTCGTTCCAAACTTGGTTATTTGCAATCGCCACGAGCCGATTTAAAACACGGACCTTTTTCTTATAATTTTAGTCAGCATTCTAATCGGGGCTCTCATTTATGGAGAAGCGAATATTCAACTTGCGGTCCTTGCATGTGTGCCCACGACCAGTGCTGGGAGATTGTTATTTATAGTTTCTTTTGGTATTTTGACTTGAAAGTGATATGTTTTAGGACCTTTTAGCTGCCGACTTCAGCAAGACAAGTGTCTTTCTGTCACGCGTCAATCGATCGCTGGTTGCCAGTTTGGGTGCAAGGTCAGCGATAACGTTTCCTAAAAAGTTTCAAATGGCACTTAAAACTAAAACTTTGTTTATCAGACAATTTCTTTTCGTAAAAATTTAACGACATTAAACGCTGCATTTTGAGAGTTGCATAAAACGCATTTTTGAAAATGTTCAATCAAGTTCAGCGTCGGGCCGGAAATCAAACATTCGTCTCAGGATCTAAAAAAAGCGCAGGTCCTAGCAAACAAATTAGCCTATTTTGTTATATCACCTGTTAATTTTTTCATGTTATCTACGAAAGTGTTGAAACCTCTATCTTGAATGTAAACAAAAATAGCCCTCCGAACCCGTCCGTTAATGTTCTCGGACGGCTCCGAACTTTCGGGAAACGGGCCCCAGCCCCTCCTCCCCGGGGAGGGGGGGTGGGGGGAGGGGGGGCTAGTCCCGATGATGGCCTATACGGGAAGGCTCCAGCCGAAAGGGGTACCTTTTTCAAGCTTCAGGTATATGAAAGGGTAGGGATTTTACTTGTTGAAGTATATGAAAGGGTAGGGGAATCTATCATTTGGGTCTGTGAAAGAGCCTAAAGAGCATGCGAGACTGAGGAGTGTTCGAAATGGATAAATGTTTACCTACGTTTTAAAAATAGTCAGACACCTGGCACAAAATGTACACTGCCTCCGTTTGAAACTTTATTTCATTCTACGCTGGCCTATACAGTCATGTGACAGACTTAAACTTCTAGGTGTAACAATGTTCTCTATTCGTTAATTATGACTCGTTTTCCTCTTTGTCGCGCGTCGAAACTGAGATAACGGACGCAATCAATTACGAATATTTACATTTCTATCTGTCTTACAGTTTTTCACTAAACTACCTCTGCTACTCGAGACAGGTTAGGCTACAGGATTACATCAGCTGAATAAATATATATTATATCCGTAAATATTGGAAGTAGGAAAAAAACTTCACTTTCATCCCGTATGTATAATGTTTCCGCTTCGTGCACGTGAACGGAAAAGCATACTTAAGGGCATTGTCGAGCTTTGTTAGCGCATTTCCCTCCTTACGCAAGAGGAAAGTTGTCTACATTAACTGGTTTTAAAGATTTCACAGGTAATCAGTGAGAATTATTAAGAACGAGTACTTTATTTTTGTAAGGTGAATTATTCGTATGTGTAATCAAATGGAAACGAGTGAAATTAGGGAATAATTTCACGAGAATACCATTTGATTACCTATATACTATTAATATCATGGGTGACGAATTACGTTAGCAATATTGGATTTTTGACATGTTTATCCTAGATCGCATCGATCGAGAACTTCCCTCTCTCGAACGTTTAGAGCTTAAATTTGGCTTAAGTTCAGAATTTTTCAACAAAATACCTGTTAGAATCCTTCTTGATGTGCTCTTTCGTCTGTTCAGGTTTTTTAAGGCATCTTTTTATGCCCTATCTTTACATTAGTTTTCTGAATAGAATTCTATGATTTCTAGTAAAAACCCCATCTCAATGCCCTATCTTCGTTCATGACATTTTGAAACTTCGTCGCCATCTTGACACTGAGACGTACGGAAGGTTGCCATGGCAATTTTGTAATTTCACATGTGAAATTACAAATTATCGCTGAAATTTCGCGCCAAAATTAAGGAGTAATTCGTCACCTATGATATTAATAGACAAATACTCTCTATATGTCGTGGCATGATGCATTTTTCAAAAATCCCAGGACCGCTCTTTCTTATTAGTCCCATGTGATGGTTAGTCTAGATGCCGGGGTTGGACTAAAAAGGTACTTTAAAATACAGCTATCATTTTTTGTTCTTCACATGAACGCACGCCTTAGACTAATGCTTTCAGAAACCTAAGAACCTCGATAAAGTTTTATTTACCTGTGAGGTTTTTGTGGCGTTAGTAAAGGTAGACACTACTTTTCATACGGTTACGTGACAGAAAAACTTACTACTCACAAAGTCAGATTTCTAAACCACTCAGTTTTTATTTCGATAGTATATTTGAGACTGATAAGTTAACAAATTTCTCACAGGATGCTTGAGAACATTCCCTGTTTTAATACTTTGCTTGAGAAGTTTCCGCAATTTCCCTAAGGGATGCTGAGAGACTTTTTTTATTTCTGTCAGGTTTTTGGATATGGGACAGGAAATTCTATTTATTCTACTTATCTTTGCTATTAAAAATTCAGAAGTTACAAGTTAAAGACAAAATACTTGCGACAAGGAAGGCTTAAAATGGAAGAACGCGACGTGCATCTATTAGAGAAATGATAAACATGCAATCAAATTTCTGATGTGTTTACATTTACGAAACTCAGTGTACGAGTATGATCGTGGCCCGTGAACAGAATATTATTTAGACTATCTTTAGATTCCTGGTATAGACAAACAAGGCTGTTTCAGTTTGGCAGATGAGAGCCAGTTCAGCTGAATTTTACTACCCTATACTAAACTTGCCGATTTGATTTTTTTATATTTTTGAATGGCAATTTCCCTAGTTTAGATCAAAATCTTCAAACAATTAATCAGTTTCCTGGGAAGTGATACCCTATTTTAGACCCAAACTCTCTCATTTTATATATCCAATCCGATCCTATCTCAGGGTAAACTGCTTGAAAGCGGCACATACCTTTATAGTCCATATATGGCAGTACCCGCCCCCGGGGGATTTTAGCAGGGACAGTGAGCCTTAAATTTTTTACGGATATACAAAAATATTTAATTCTCTTTAAGTCGGGTAAAGGAAACAATGTTGTATTCATCTCTGAGACCTCTTAACCCGTAGCAGTTTTTCTGGCGCCTCACTCGGCAAACGGATGTTAGTTTGTCACAGTAATCGATCGATCGACATTTTTAGTTGATTGTGGTTTGCCCTTTCACATACCGCAAGAAGGCGCCTAAACTCACAAGTCTGTGCAAAGCAACCAAAGTTTAATTATTTAACACGTAAAATTTTACCGAAATCTCTCACACTGGGAAGAGAAAATGGTTTGTAAAAAAAATTAACTATAACGCGGTTTAATTACGCTGCTGTCCAAAGTAAACGGATGAGTCAGGGTCGAGTCAGTCGGAATAGGGCGGAATAGGCTATATTTATGTGCTCAAATATCAACGCTTTAAATAAAGTACCGTAGATTCTCTTAATCACTTTCCGGTCGCATGATCTTTCTAAGGGACGGACCATTAGAAAAGTTATGGGGGGGGAGGGGAATTTTCGAGCTGCAGGAATTTTTTTTCGTTATCAAATTCCTTGTATGAATTTTTTTCAGGCCCTTGCATGAATATTTCTTAGGGTTAATTGGCTTGCAAGAATTTTTTTTCATTTAATTTTCCCTTGCGCGAATTTTTTTTTTTTACTTCGCCCGCCCCCCATAAGTTTTCTAATGGTCCGTCCCTAAGGAAGAAATCGAGTAGATATTGGATGCGGGGGTCTATCTTCACCTCACCGATGTCCTTTTTTCGCCATTGCTGGGAACAGACTTGCTATTACCCTATTACTCCAGGAATATATACTTTGCTGACCAATTACATTCTAGCCAACCCTTTTACCAAAACATACTTAAAGTTAAGGCGAATTAAAAACAAAAATGTGCATCTATTATTGCAGTTCGTGTAAAAAAGACCTCTGACAAACTGAACGTTGTAACAAAATCCGTGCGCAGGAATCGAGCGTCTTCTTACGTCTCTTGTACACAAGAAGTTTTATGAAATTTTATGGAGGGTAGCTTAAAAACGTCTCTGTTGTTATCGGATCCGTCAGGAAATTCTGGCATAATCCTGTTACGTTTTATTATTGATTGGTGAGGAAACACGATATCGTTTTCGGTTATTACAAAACGGAATCACTGAGTCGTTAGGAGGCAGCAGACACGAATGCCGTGAGTTAGGAGCTCTTGCATGAGCGGAATAACGCCGGGGACTGACGTTTTATAGTTTATTATTCCTCGTAGATCTAATTAAGGTAAGTCGTATCCTCCAGCAAGTTTGGATGATTCGATTTAATTAAATTTTTATCTCTCCAATCGTGTAGGGTTCGCATGCGCAATGATGTATCACAAACGTGTGCATGAACTTGACTGATTTTTCTAAAGTTAGAGTCTTTCCTCATTTTGATTACCCCTTCAATGGAATTTGGCAATAAACGATTTGTCGCTTTAAACCCACCCGTAAGTTTCAGCGCTGAGTTCTAAACAAATTGAACTTGCGATGTGTAGAGGAGCGTGTGCGTTACGTGGCAAAAAAATGTGCAAGCTTGAAAAAGAGCGTTATTGAGAAATTCGATAAAGGATTTAACGGTGAGTTCAATGTTGGTACTGCTAGAGTCACAAATGACCTGTTGAGGGATAATAAAAACAATATTGCTCTGCACGTTACTAACTTTCAGTCAGATTTAAAACGATTTACAGTAGACTGTGGCTGTTGCGTAAGACAGAATGAAAATTAGATGGCATTATGGGGGATTTGAATATATAGCATTAACAAAAAATGATAGGCTAGTTTAAAAAGATACATGAGGCCATGAGGCTCCAGCGTCATTGCTCTGCTTCGCGTGCCACGGTTTCCAAACGGTTATACGGGCTAGGTTCAAACGATAATGGAAAAGAAACACTTAAACGAAACAAATTATTTTCTCTGTTTATATGTTCTTTATTATAGATATTATTGCATGAATGGCTGTTCCTGTCTGTCCAGGCACCGATATTACAATCCTTGATGCGGCTGTTAATGGCTACCACTGCAAGGAATGCCCAACGTGCCCCGCTGGGGAGGGGCTGTCAGTTAACTGCGGAGACGTCATTACCTCTCAAACACCTGTCAAATGCCAGCCTTGTGTAATCGGTGAAACCTATTCGGGTGCAAATGAACCTGGCGCATGCAAGATTTGCCACAATTGTGATGAGCTCCAAGAAACCATCAAAACTTGTACCCCGACATCAAATGCAGTGTGTGGCAACTGCACTCAAGGGGCCTACTTCGACAACAACTTGGGAAAGTGCGAACTGTGCTCTCCTTGCTGTAACGATGGCAGAGATAAATTAGAGCCCGGATGTAAAGTCCCTGGAGTCGCGGCGAACATGCAGTGTAACTTTGCGCGATCTGCGAAGTGCGCAAAGGTAGCAGAGAGGAAAGCAAACATCAGCCCCTCGCCAACACAGCACCCGACACCATCAACCACCTTTATATCAAGGCCAACGACAATGTATCCCACAACAAAACATTTAGAGAAACCGTCAGCTCTCAGTGCCTCAGCTACCACTTTCCCTTCTGGGATTGCCGTTGGTGCTGGTATTGTTGGTGCTTTGCTTGTGTTTTTGATATGTTTGGCAATATTTTGCTACCGCCGAAAAAGGAAATACCAAGAGAGGGAAACTGGCTTATCCGCTGAGGAGATAGAACGTCTCCAACCAGGCCAAATTAATGAAACGAAGACAAACGAGCAAGAACCTTTGCCTTTGGTTCCGCTCGCACTAGAGCCCTCGACGTCCCCTGTTGAGGAGACCGACCAAATTCCACTGTCGATACAAGATTCCCAGCTACCAGCCCGTATTGATACAACAGGTAACGTCGCTGTTTTTATTGGTGAAAAAAATAATCATTTTTCAGCGGTCGTCTGTTATTTCCTTCAAACAAAAAATGGAAAAAAAGTTTCAGTTATACAAGCGCAGGTTACTTATATTATATGAAATACCTGGTCTTATTTAGAGGGTCAAAATCAAATTGTTTCCGCATGTGTAATCGATATCAGCATAGCAGGCTAATATCAGCTATAAAAAGGGGATCGTCGACCCCAGAGGGGATTTTTTCCGTAAGGAGATAAGTTAAAAATAAGTTTCGAGAAACTTTATTCTAGAAGCAGCTGAGGCTTTTTGAGTTTTTAATTGACCAACTCTTTCTGTCATTTCTTTGTTTAGATTTCAAACCTTCCCAGGCGTATGTAGGCCCTCCGGTTATCCCCTCCCTTGAAGACTACAAAGAGATCTGGGCAGCTCCCAGGAGGATTGGTGACGAGTCGGATTGAGTATGACGTTTAATCGTTTTTAGTAAAATCCAACTAGTAGTCTATTATCAATGCTGCGTTCTGATTGGTTGAGTTACTACTAGGCTATATGTTATAGCCCACTAGCAGCGAAGAGTGCCGGCTTTTTAGCGGCAAAAAAGGATTAAAGTCCAGCTTTAACTAGCTATTTTTTTTTATTCTGGATGTTTTTGACGAACTACAGTTGAATTTTACTAAAACAATTATTCCTCTCGCCCTCACGGCCTCTGGGTCAAAAGCCCATGAGGCCTCCCATGACTCAGAGCCCATTCGGGTTTGAGGAATAATTGTTCCATTATTTTGTCAAGGATGTTTTGAGTTGATTTTAATTTGTCTTAGAAAATATTACTGGAATGATAGTTTTGTTCTATACTAAGAGAATATAATAATCTGAGGTGTTATACGGACTATCACAAGTCAAAGATATTTTAATGTGTCCACCCGGACGTCAAGGTAGTTGAGATAATATTTCTTTAAAATTTGTTAAAGTATTTAACATCACCACTGTCTTTGTATGTAATTTCTTATAACTTGGTGGTGAGAAATTTCCCGCCCATCATTTCTTACCCTGAGTCTTTCAAGTAAGTTTTTTTGAACAGTTTCCTCGAAAGTAAACTTTTCATCAGAACCACAAGGGCATAATGCAATAGGCCTTTTTTTTTTGCAGCCTTATTCTATTCCTCTCACTTAAGGATTCAACTGATAACTGTTTATCATATAGTACGCTCGAAAAATGATCAGCAACAGTCTCTCTTTTAGCCATGCATAGGTTGGAAGTAATATGCTTTACAACGGAGTTAAATGCGCTTTTGTCAAACTTCATTTTGTTTGATTACCTAGTGTAGGTGAAATCAGGTAAAATTATTGTGAATTGCCTTCGGCCTCATGGGCTATTGACTCAGAGCCCATTCGGGCTCGAGGAATAATTGTTCAATATCTGCGGACTTTTCTTATAATACCTATCGCATTCAATCATTTTGTCAAGGATTTCTTGAGTTGATTTTAATTTGTCTTAGAAAATATTACTAGAACGATAGTTGTGTTCTAAGAGAATATAATAATCTGAGGTGTTATACGGTCTATCACAAGTCAAAGATATTTTAATGTGTCCACCCGGATGTCAAGGCAGTTGAGATAATATTTTTTTAAAATTTGTTAAAGTATTTAACATCACCACTGTCTTTGTATGTAATTTCTTATAACTTGGTGGTGAGAAATTTCCCGCCCATCATTTCTTACTCTGAGTCTTTCAAGTAAGTTTTTTGAACAGTTTCCTCGAAAGTAAACTTTTCATCAGAACCACAAGGGCATAATGCAATAGGCCTTTTTTTTTTGCAGCCTTATTCTATTCCTCTCACTTAAGGATTCAACTGATAACTGTTTATCATATAGTACGCTCGAAAAATGATCAGCAACAGTCTCGATCTTTTAGCCATGCATAGGTTGGAAGTAATCGGCTTTACAACGGAGTTAAATGCGCTTTTGTCAAACTTCATCTTATTTGATTACCTAGTGTAGGTGAAATTATTGTGAATTGCTTTCAAATAAAGAAATCTTTTTAATAATATTCGTGAATTTTTTAAACGCTTCTCTTTGTGTAGTGTGCTACAGAGCTGTTTTCACTATCGTCACGTTGCGTGACAACTCTAAAAACGGCTGTGTAGCAAGCTACTCTTTGAATCCTCGTAGATTGACACTCAGGGTAGCCCCGGTTGTATGCACCGGATAAATCAGAATCCAGTAGATAAGTATTAAGAAACGTAATTGTGTTATTTCCTGGGTAGAAATTTTTCAATTGGGTATTACTATCCACCTTTTACACATCCGGGGTCTGTCCACCAAGTGACTGGTAAAATCTTTGCTGAGGTCGCTGCAATTATCAGCCTGAGACTGAACAGCAGCTAAATGTCGACAAGACAGTAACGAAACCATTGAAAATGATTCGTATTTTTTTTAATTGCTCGTGATAGGATAAATAAATCTGACCAGTTACATACTTTTATTTACCATTTTGATTTTCATTTTTTTTCTTCAAAGTAACCGTATTCAGTCGGTAACCGCAGCTTTGATGAGCAAAAACGACAATTCGTCGTTAATATTGGGTCCTATTATGAATACCGATTCATCTTTGCTCAGAGTTTTAAAACCAATAAATGGTTAACGCGACAATGTTTACCATATTTTTCACGATTACTAAGAACAATGAAAATTTTGGAATTACTATAAATGCTTATGACAATATATGGTAGCCAGAAACATATGAAACACCTTATGAAATCACAAAAAACGTCATTTTAGGGAAGAATTTGCTTAGATACTGCCCTCTAATACTTTATATTACTTACACAGTGAGAAATGTCAATTTTCATTTCAGTCAACTCAAACTGGATACCAGTTGATTTGACTAAACATGCAGTCTACCGGCCAAGATTAGGTCACAATTAGTCAAAGTTAGTTACTACGGTCGACTCTCAGTGCTGTCAACTGGCCCGGGCCTTGCACTGGCCTGATCCAACACTGGATTTTTAAGAGCTAAAATAAGCACATGCGCGCTTTAGTTACTTGTTAGAGGTAAATGTATGTGTTCTTGCCAGTTTACCGTACGTTATATTTTTCATATTCTTGTAAGACAGGCATATTTTACAAAGTGGTACACTGGCCACCAGGTTAATCAAGTGCGATGTTTTACTTTCTACTGTGTTAACTGTCAGTCTTTTTGAAGTGTCTTTAGTGTTCCTTAATTAATCATGACGGGCATTGATTTCCATATAAGTGGGCAAAATAACCATCGTTCCTTTTCAGCAAGACTTCCGGTTTGTCCAGCTCGACAATCTTTCCTCGCTCCAAGACCATGACGCGGTCATAGTCGATAATCGTGCTCAGTCGATGTGGGATGGTGTTGACAGTGCAATCGATAAACCAGGTACGGATCACTTCCTGGATAAGACGATCAGTACGATAATCCACGCTGGATGTAGCTTCATCTATTATCACGATCTTACTTTTGTGTAGTAGCGCACGCGCAAATGAGATCAGCTGTCGTTCGCTGGGACCCAACGTCGCACTACAGTCCGCGAGGTCCTGGTACAACTGTTTTGGAAGACTCTCGACCCAGGACTTTAAGTGGCACTTCTCTAGTACTTCCCAGACTTCCTTCTCGCTGTGGTTTAGAAACGGATCGACGTTCATGCGCAGTGAACCCATGAAGAGAATTGGTTCCTTAGTGATAATTGACATGCCGCGCCTGCTTGCTTGAAGCTCAAGGTTGTTTATCCTAACACCATCAATTGTGACCTTTCCTCCGCATTCTGGCATTCGAAAAAGAGCATTCACGATCGATGATTTACCGGTACCCGGTCGTCCAGCAATGCCCAACTTTTCCCCAGGCTGCACTGTGAAGGAGATATCTTTCAGAACTCTTGATCCTTCTCTGCTGTAACTCAAAGAAACACATTCAAAACTGATTCCACCATCTTTAGGCCATGGTATTGGAGGCTGAATCTCGATCGCGTACCCAGGCTCCCGTTCGATCTCAGAGCAGGCCAGGTTACGATCCACAGCACTCATGTAGTTTTCTACTTCTGCACAGCGTTTGATGCCATTCTGTGACATGTCAAGTGACAGCTGCAGGGCGTAGATCAGCGATAGAATTGTAAGCGCTGAAAAACCAATGAAATTGAAAGAGCCAGTTTCTTTCGGCCTTTAACTGGAAGTAGTTTAAAGGTTAGAGGCACAGCCTACAGTAATGATACGTACCTGCATCTAACTTGACGTAAAATGCTCCAGCGGTTACTGCAATCACGAACACCGCGCACACCATGTCGAGGCGGAACCTGATCCAGCCCCCGCAAGAAATGTTCGTGGAACATCCTTGACTGTGAGAGTCCTGGTAACTGAGTTAAAATCAAATAAATCACTTGGTAAGGATTTTTAATTCTAAATCTTTCGTTAAAAACATTTCTGTCTTCTGGATTAGCTTGCGCTGTGAGCCGTGCAAGAGAAACAACAAAAATTTTTACAAACCCATAGAAGCCCTCCGTAAAGGCTTTCTGCATGCTGTGCGTCCTTATTGTCACCAGTCCAGTCAGCGTCTCGGAGAAATGACCAACCACCGGTCTGCGGCAACTAATCTCCAGTTTCCTAACCTGGCGCGCGGTCTTTAGGTAGTAGCTCCAGAAAATGATAAATAAAACAAACAGCGGACCTCCCACCAGAAACACGCATGGGTTGAGAATTACAGGAAGCAAGAAGACTGAAATAGCGAACAATGTCATCTGAATCGAGACTAAGAACACACTCGGAAGAAGCTCATCCATACAACCGATATCTTTAGAGAAGCGATTCAAAATACTTGTTGTTGGATGTGTGTCAAAGAAGGCGATTGGCGCTTGAAGCACAGAAACAATCATCTTTTGATGGAGACGTTCAGAGGAGCGAAGAGTTGTGGCGAAGAAAAATGATGCGCGTAAAATTGTCAGCATAAAAACTCCACCCACCATAGCAGCATAAATGTACCAGCTCGTTTGATCCAAGGACAGACGTGACGCAAATTCACTCATGCGCAGTAACCAAATATCCGGGACAAGAATAGCCCCTGTTAGACAAAAGTAAAATAAAGCTTATAATATTCTTAAATAGATCTAACTTGCGTTATTTTCGCATTTTCCTTCCATTCTATTCCGAAGAGAAAAGAAGTGCTAGGAACTTTGAAGTTGGCGCACACAAAACCGCTACCCTCAATAGCAATGTACTTGGGCCTTGCGAATAAAATAGTTATTATAACTTGCGAGGCCTGCCATTGTTACAGACTCTTATGCATGTTTACAAAACTTTGATCAGAGTTAATCTTCTAATGGTAAAGGGTACTTACCTTGAACACAGAAGGTAAAAATAGCAAAAACAACCAGGAAAGGAAGACAAGCGCCGTTTCTAAGATATTTCCAGTACACTGTTAAGGAAACAGGCCCCATCATTTCTTCTTCTTCAAACAGGTTTGACCGTGTTCGGTATTTTTCTTGGATTTCTTCCTCTATCACAAACTCCACGGTTTTATTCACAGGAATTTTTCTTTCCGGTTCTCTTGATCCTCCTGGCGAATGGAGCTTAACAGATCTGTAACCCATAACTTGTGAGGTCACTTCATTTATTATGGTCCCTGCTCGCATGGTCAGGATTTGATCCACTCGCTCCACGAACTGCAACTGACGGCTCACGAGAATACGGACTCGCTTTGATAGTAGTCCACAAATGCATTTGGCGAAAACCTGTTCAGCTACTCTAGGTTCTACTGCACATAAAGGATCATCCAAAAGATAGATGTCAGCGTCTGAATATGCTGCTCTAGCGATGCCAATACAAGCTTGCTGATCGTGCGACAAAGTAAATCCATTGCTTCCTATAATTGTAAGGTCGCCATCAGAGAGCTTGTCGATGTCCTTTTGCAAGTTACAGGCATTGACTATAGCTTGATACCTGAACGGGTTATATTGCTTTCCAAATACAATGTTTTCCCTTAGGGTGTCGCTAAACACCCATGGAGTCTGTGGCACGTATGCGATCTTTCCGACGCTTGAGATCTGTCCCTCAGTTGGAGGGAGTTCCCCAAGAATGGCCGCAAGGAGAGAGGACTTCCCACATCCCGCTGGACCATTAATAAGGGTCAGTTCTTTAGCGGTGGTCCCAAATGTTACATTTCTCAATGCTATTGATCTATTCCCACTTCCCCAATAACAGGATACATTTTCAAAGGTTACGTGGAGATCACCTGATGGATTATCCGCGATATCGAGAGACTGCTGCTTGATGAGTGCGGGCTCATATTGAGGAACAGTCTTTCCGACTTTAATGTCGTTGGAGATCTTAGTCAAGTCCTCGTTGGAAAGGTACTCGGACATTTCCGCATCCGTCAGATCTAAGAAGGATCGAATCTTAGAGCGTGTTCTCTTTCTACTGTAGCTTCCCTCGGAGTAAACCGTTTCTTCGAGTTCTAGGAACGATTGAATTCTCCCAAGCGAACCAGCTGCAGCACCTATGAAGTTTACACCAGCAGCAAAAGTTGATGAGGCAGACAAGCGAATGGTTCTGATAAACGCGAGCACCATAAAAATGTTGTAGGTGCTGAGCTCAACTCCAGTGATGATTAGGGTCGTCAGGGAGATAAAACATGCCACAATGGAGCTAGTATGAAGAAAGGTCGCAAATGTAGACAAAATGGCACTCTTCTGGCGCACGTACTGAAGTTCTTTTCTATAACGAATAAATATAAAAGGAAAAAAATAACAACAAGCTTGGGGTTGATTTTGGTTGAATATCACTGATTTTTTTACTAATGGGTTCCGTGTTTACTTTTAGTGAGTGAGACTGCATGTTCTTCAAAACGTGAAATTTTATGGTATAGTAAGAGGCGCATGCTATTTTCTCTTGAAATTAATCCTTAATTTTTGACGTGTTAAACAACGAATTTGATAAAGCCGTGAAGTTTTTTCTATCAAAACGTGGTTATGCGCACATCTTAAGTATGAACCGACTATTTTTTGTGTGTTTTTTTTATCTTTTTAACATCAAACTCAACGCGACAACTGGGGCCAGGTCTCGCGTTTGGCTTCGTGAACAAGAGAACTGGGTACGAGATTAGGGATTTCATTGACCTCTAGGGCGAGGAGCGAGGGGGTGCTTGCGTAGCGTAAGTCAGTGAAGAACAAACAAGTTCAGCTCTACAGTTTTGACTGAACGCGGGCAAATCAGGCTATTTTTGACTACGTTTTGAGCCGTTTTGTCTATTAAGCCACTTTTTGAACTCGATATAAATGGTTCAGCAACGACTAGACCAAGTAACTGATAGTTTTGGGCTTTCAGACTGTCAAGAGTTAACCAGTCAAAAACGTCGAGACGTGACATCGTAAAAATTTATTTGGTGGATCAACGTGGTCCGGCCACTGTCCGAAATTTATTTTGAGCCATGTTATCATTATTAGACAATTATGTGACACAGTCAACTTTAGTCACTTTAAGGCCGCACTTTTGTCAGCTTGAAGTCCAATTTAATCTTCTGTAATGCTCTTTTTGATTGTCAATCTTTTACTGAGTATACATGCTTATCTCGTCCTAGGAGAAGTGTACTTTATTGCATTTGGCTAAAATTCGTGTCTTACGAGTCATATGAGAAAGTGTGAAAGCAATTCAGTTAAGAAATGATATCCAATGCGCGTGTTCGACAGCTTACTGTGTCTCTATAAATTAAAGTTTTACAAAAGAGCGGTAACCGAATTTAGTTTTTTGCGCTATGACAATGATCCCGGCCAATAAAAAGTAGAAAGAGATCAAAAACAATGTCCAAAAACATGTTAAAAAACCAAGCTTTTCTTCGTGACAGAGGTGATTAGCCATTGACGGCTTTTAACGTTTTGTTAGATAGATAGATAGATAGACAGACAGACAGACAGACAGACAGACAGACAGACAGACAGATAGATAGATAGATAGATAGATAGATAGATAGATAGATAATCTTTATTTATCCACGGTACAAAATTCGTCAGCTTTAAAAATGCCTAATACTAATATAATAAAAATATTTAAATAAAAAAGCTACTTTCCACGAATGCCGTGCCTTACAGTTCTTTGAGTAATCGTTTAAATTGCCCAAGGGACTCTGCTTCCCTTAAGTTACAAGAAAGACTGTTCCAGAGAATGGCGCCACTATAGCTGAAGCTGTTTTTGTAATAGTTTGTGCGCGGTAATGGAACATTGAGTTTATTTGCAGAGTCCCTTAGGTTATATGCGACTTCTCTGTTCAGTTCTATTACTTCGAAATACTGTTTTAACGTTCCAAAAGAATTTGCAAACATGTTTCGACGTAGCCTGTTCCAGGCGTTCGGACAGGACAAGGAAAACTACGAACGTAACGACATACAAACAAAATGAACTTTATATTATTGGTGGATAGCAAAAGACTTGATTAACCTTCGCTGGTTTATGATATGGCATAGATAGGAAAAATTGATTTGGTGTTACACTCGAACTTTGTTAGGCCGTTTTCTTGCAAATTGCAGCTCGATTTTCCCTGGCAATGACTGTACCTTTTCCCAATACTTTATTATGTAGTAATCAAATGAATAAACGTGAATATTAGGAATGATTTGCAAGAGTTCTTTTGTTTCTGCTAATTAAGCATTTTTCTATCTGCATGACTGAAAATAGAGTTCGCAAAAATAGAGTAAGTAAAAGTCTTTAGGTCAGTCTCACTCTCTACTGATCACCAAACCAGCTCCGAGATAGATTAATCGAAGGACAAAATTTAAAATTGCGATGTCGGTGTTTCGCTACGTTTTTTTGCGGTGATGCGGTGTTTGTTATTTTTTTCCTCGGTGTTCCAGTGTGGACAGTCCCCCAATGTCCCCCTCATTATTATACCTTAAACCCTTACGGAACATTAATACATTTCTTCACATAATTTATAAATCGAAAAAGAAAACAAACTTGTTATGCATTCTAAACAACGTCTTTCAATATAGCAAGATTCAAACACGAAAATGAAATGCGATGAAAAGCATTAAAACAGAAAAAAATTTGGAATCCAGCCCTTTTTGGAATCCGGAATCCACTGAGCTGCAATCCGGAATCCAGTACTCGGAATCCGGAATCCACAGGGTGGAATCCAGAATCCAAGACTGTCATGGATTCCCTTACATGGGGGGATTATGAGCTGTGATAACAACACAACACGCTAAGGAACTTGTTCCTTTTATTTCTATTATGCTGTAAATGTATATGTAATCACATTGCCATAGCTGTACATTTCCAGTCAAAGCGATTCAAATAGGACTCGAGAAACTGCTTATCAACCAAGGAAGTCCCCGAAAGTGGAAATTTCGATGCTTTTAGCGCACAAGTTTCTTTTTATCATCTTAATGTCCGACTCGCGCCTTCCTTAAGGGCATAACTAAATTCAGTAGTCAATTCCCTAAGGTCGTTTCCAGCCCACGACAAGCCATTAATTAGCGTAACCAAAAGCAAATTGCTTACTTTAGTGACTCACAGCTTGTATACTACAACTGTGTATCTCATGTAAACTAGAAGTTTATCACTGAAAAAGGCTACCAGTCGCTTCTTTGATCGTAGGGAGAGAGTTCAAGAATGCCTTTATAAGAATCTTCAGAAGTTTAACTGGGTAAAGCGATCATCGTGTTGGTAGGTTGTAATCAATGGTTAGTCTTATTTTAGTGACAGTAATCTGTTATTAAGACTGTCTCTACGTAAAACCACTATATTTAGGCTTAATTAAAACTGGAAGTATGTCTTTTTATTATTTACCCGTTTTATTATCGCTACCCTAAGAGTAGCTAATAGTACCTCGCTGCCAAGTGAAAACAGTCCCTTGTAATCTATATGGTGAGAACTTTTATATTTAGCTATAAACAGCCGACGAAAAAAAAGGCTTTTCGCTCAAGCTGTCTTGTATTTGAATCGTAGATGAGTGAATTCTTTGACAAAGTGTCGTCACTGATTAAGTACAAAATATTACTTTGTAAAACGTCGTTTGTTCCTGTTGAATGTTAAACTGTATTTTGGCGTTTTCGCTATCGACCATCTTCATCCTGTAACGTTTTGACAGCATTCAGTTTTGCTTCGCGCCGAAAACGTAGAACGAGCAAGACGTTTTGCTCCGTATAAATCCATTTTTTTCTAAAATAGTTGGCACGCATGCTCTCCAAGTTTAAGTTTTTTCTCCCACTTGATTGTGTCTTGCACGTTCATGTGTCGGGTCTTCAAAAAACAGACATTGAGAAAGATTTTATTCACGTGATCGCTAATTGATCGGTAACTCCACTTCTTTAATTTGTATAAGAGACTTTGGCACGAGAATTGCTCAGTTCGTTAGAGCACACTTCTGAAACATAGGATATGTCTATAGACGCAGATACTAGAGTTAAAACCTTATTCGAAGGACTTCGGGACCCCTGCGGGAGCCTTTTTTATACACGACTGTATTGTCTTAACACACTTTTTCGTCCTGGGTGCTTGACAATAGTTTTTTCTTACTAGGTCTTAGACTAGCGCACGTTTTCAATTCGCCGTCTACCGTACCATTTTAACTGTTTACTCGGTCTTTTCTGAGTTAATGCAACAATAAACACATGTTGTATACCTGGTTTTCTTTTGAAAGTATATAATGGTCACCATTTATGTCTAAGATTAAATACCGTAAGCTTTTCTTTCGTTTTTAATATTCAGTAGCGATCCCTCTCTCTGTGTTAATAAACAATTAAGTTTTCTCTTGTATTGACAGTCTTTATGATTCTGAAGGATAGTTCGGTTCTTCAGCTCGGTATGTTTTGTTCCTCTTCAGCGCTTTGATTTCCTTCGGTTTAAACATGCAATTTTGTTAAAAATTTAAACTTGTTTAATTATGAATGTACTGCACATGTTAATTTATGCTTATATCCGTACGCTACAACATTACGTAACAAGATTTTAGCACGTACACACTCGACCTGCATGCAAAGCTATCTTTTACTTTATTCGTTTCATAGTTCTTCGAGTGATAGCATTGTGATCATGTTAGCAGATAATATTTCGATGCAAAAGCTAAATGCTGATTCACTTCATTTTCGTAGTAGTAGTTTGATTGCATTCTTAATTGATTGAAATGTGTTCTTCCAAACGAACGTTTTGAGTTGCTTGTTTGTGGATAACTTTTGCGAAGAAAATAATTTTGGGTTTACTCTTTTCGACAAGGAGCTAGAGAGCTTTGTGTGTGCGAGTAAACAATCTTCAGTGTGTGTAACTACTTTGTTTCCCTTGTAATCCTTCACGAAGACTTTTACATCGCGATTTACACGATTCAACACAAAGTGCTGATTCCTAACCACAAACAATGAAACCCTCCCGAAGGAATCTTGCACTTTTTTGTTATCGAAATTTCTGGACATTGAGGCAATTGGAAGTGATTTAAGACAAGACGTATTGAAACGTTTTCATTACTTGACTTTTAAAGTTTCGAAAAGTTCGGGCCAGTTTGCTTGACTTGTACAAAGAAACCGCTTATACAACCTAATTCCCGATGGTACTGTTAGCGGGGCTATTGTATATTATAGTGTAAAGGAATGTTAAAATTGAAAGGGTCGGATCACGCTTTGTGCTTGACAAATGAACAGGAATAACCTTTAGCCATGCATTTTCTTTTTTGCCCACGATGTCGTGTGTATTAAAGTTTACTTACGAAATTGACTTCAGTTAGGATCAATTTGTTTTGAGTTAACGTTAGTTAACGCTAGTGCAAACCGTGCATGCTTGCCTAATGAGTACTTTTGTTTTCTTGGTCTCAGAAGTGTTTGGTAGATAATCTATAGGTGCGGGATCGCCCCGATCTCGACCCCTTTTGGTCGTAATTTTCTGGGTTTTTTTCCGCATACAGCTCATTGGTTCCTCAAAACTATGTACTAGTTCTTTGCGTCAGTTTTCAGTTTTTAAAAATGTTTTTGGCTAAGCAGAGCTTACATACAGAAGTACAGTATCATAACGGGAAAGATTATTTTCTTTTGTATTGTAAAAGATATATATGCTTTGATATCCTTTTCTAAACACAAATTGCATTTAAATTATTCATGACTGAGATGGAATAAGACTGGGACAAGTAATTTCGTGCCAGTTTCAGTGTAAGAACTTGAAAACATTGGCGCTCCTTTTCGAAATAGAACCTTCCTTCCCCATAGTGTGAACAGCTGTTTGGCCTTGGGTGAAAAAGCAGCGGGCTTTGAAAAGCTTTCTCGGAAGAGAGTGTCACGTCAACGAGAACACAGACTTGTTGACGCAAAATGGGGAAAAAAATGAGAAATTAGAACCGAGACTTGATGTTCCAGCATTCCTAGAGTACAACTTAAAAATACAGTTATTTCAAAGACACTATAGTTATGCGACCTGCGTTAAACTTTGTCTGAGTGAATGCATTCTTAATTTGACCCCAAAAGTTCTCCCTTCTGTTTTAAACCTTGGTGAATAGCTCCGAACGTAATCTTCACTAAAAATGAAAAACAAATGGTCATAATGCGATTGCGAAAAGCCTGAAAACTTCAGGACTTGAAAACTATAATTACGGTAGTTAGTACAAAGAGACGATTTTTTTTTCGACCCACGTTTGTCCTAGTCGATGCCGGCATTGTTTTAAATTAACTGTGCCCTGAAAGTCGACCCTTGTGTTTTAAGTCCTATTTAATACCACCGAACATAATCTCCATTTTAAATGAAATATAAAAAAAAAATGGACACCGCATTTATGCACGCAATTGCTGCAATGGCGAAAAGAAGGCTGAAAAAAATCATGACTTCAAAGAGACTCGGACGCCACCTGCGCGTTTTACCGCCTCTAACCAACTGAGTCATGAAGTGAAAGAAATGCCTTGATCAACTGAGTTGACCTGGTCGTTTTACCACCGTAAAATTATTGAAAAGCTGACATTTTTCAAGTGATAGCCTTTGGTCAGAGGGAGCTGTTAAAGCCCCTGATGTTTGGAGAGGGTCAGTTGTGGATATATGTGTTTCTGTGGAAAGTGAATTTGAATGGTGTATGAAGTACATCATATGCTGTCAAATCTGATATTAAGCAGGCATCCTTTATTAACTTGTCTTAGGTATCAGTAAGTCCCAGGTCCTCCTCCCCCCATATTTTCTGTGAAACAAATCTGTCTTTGGTGTTCATTTGAACACTCACAAACGTTTTCAAGGCTCAACTCTACTGAGGGCACTGTCCCTTATGTTCTTCTTTCTACTTTCATCTCCGTTTGGCCTAGAGTCCTCGCATTCAACTTTTAGAATTTAACGGGATGTTTCAAGATGTGAACTCGTGGCATCGTAGAAAACTACCGCTCAATAACTTTCGACGTCTGTCTGTTAAAGTAATTGAAAATTAGGTTTTGCGGTAAATTTGATAAATAAAGGGCTAGGAAATTCACGTGTCGCACGTGAGAATTAAAGATATAAGGCGTTGTTTTCACGTGCGCAAGTAATGAAATAAAAGGCTTGAGCTTAGTTGAGACTAGGCTTTCTCGTGAATGAGCTCCTGTTTTTTTTCCTGAAAACCCTCTTTTAATAACAAAACCAATGACAATGGAAAGCGCATTAAGTGATTTGAGCTTAGTGACCGACATCAAAGTAAACGCGCAAAACTCAGACAGATAACCTATTCATTACCTAATGGGCCCTGTTAAGGTAATTTTTCGACAAGCGCCTTGGCCTTAAAACAGCGACATAAGACGGCTGAAATGACGAGACAAGCTCAAAATACAATAGAATTTACCGATAGGGACTTAACACGCCCCTTCCTTTTTCAAGCGGTATTAGGAACAAAAGCGTCCCGGTTTTGACAGTAAAATGCTTGGGATGTACTTGTGTTTTTGCCGCTTTCGTGGCAAAACAATTTTTTATTTGCGTTAACCAAAATCCCGACTAACTTTTCGAGCTTTTTTTTTATTAACCTAAAATTAACTGAGCTTTCAACGGGTTGCAACCTTTCTGTCGTGATATAGACAAAATTACTGTAACTTAATAACTGGATATTTGTCCGCTACTTTTATTCGAAGGGTCATACGGACAATGGTATAGTATTGATCCATCATTGTTAAAGCCCTAAACGTTTTAGAAATCATTGCGAGCCACCATTCAAAAGCGCAAAAAAAAAAAATAAAAGAATAGGCAAGCTCATGGACCTACGTCCGTGAGCAGAAAAACAAACATTAATCATTTCAGTGCTTCAGTTTCGTTTTCTGATAGGCTTGTTTAAGACATCATAAGTTTGACAGAATTTTCGACTTTAACAAATTTTTACATATTTCTCTCAGGAATAATTATCCCACATAAACATAATGATGAACCAGTCCCATCAAACACCAAATACTTACGGCCACAAATATATTTTTCTTCCCTTTTGCAGATGAACTAGGTCGCTAACATCGCACCATCCGTGCTGCTATAAGGAAATGGACTTGAAAACATTTCTCCAAAGCAACGTTGCCTTACCACCTCGTCCTAGGAGGAGACGACACAGTATCGCTGACCTTCGTTTCGTGTATAATCTTCATGATATTCCAGAAAGACCAGAGGAGGAGGAAGAGGTTGAAAAAGAACCGCGACGACGCTCAACGGGAAGTTGTGCAAAGAATGAAAGGGATAGATCGGCTAGCGACCCGCCCGGTAATCGTTCACCCAAAGACTGCGATAGTGCGGTTATTAATATCCCTGGGAATCCATCCACTGATTTTTCTGTAAGTCCATCTGACCTCACCAAGAACACATCAAGAGAGGCGAATGAAATCGCAGCCTTTCCATCTGGGGATGAGGACAGAGGAGCAGCATTTCAACGATGCTACAAGCGATCTTCTAGTGTAGACGAAGATGTTGTAAAAGAAGCTGTGTCTACCTACGTTCTTTCATACACAGACGAAGATGGTAACGTAATAAGTGCTGATGAAGTCTCTCCATCAAACACAGGGTCATCTTCTCCCAGCGACGAAGATTTAGGCATGTCTGAGATGTTACGGAAAGTCGAGGCCCAATCCCCTATGACAATGACTCGATCCAGACGAGGTAGTGCCATAGACCAGGATGTTGTTGAACGAATCACTTGCCTGACACCTATAGTAGAGTCTAGCCGCTCCAGCAGCTTGGCAAGCGTGGTGGCCAATGTGAATGGTCGTGAAAATTCACCGGAGAACTGCAATAAAAGTGAAAGAGCTATTCTAGGATCGAGCAATATATCCCAAAAAAATTTTGATAAAAATCAAGAAATGCTCGAGAGGATTATCAAATCTCCTAATTTAACGAGAAGAGGATCTATTAGCGAAGTCCTTAACTCATTGTCAGCTCAGGCTGAACTCGGCAGTGATCCCGCGAGACAGAATACCAAAGAGAATGGCTGTGAAAATTCAACTGGGGACTGTAATAAAAATGAGGGAGCTTTTCAGGGATCGAACAGCACGTCTCCAAAAGTATCTGATAAAAATCAGGAAATACTCGAGAGGATTATCAAATCTCCTAATTTAACGAGAAGAGGATCTTTAAGCGAAGTCCTTTGCTCATTGTCACCACAGTTTGACCTCAGTAGCGATCCCGCAAGACAGAATACCAGAAAGGGCCTCTCTTCCCATTTCGAGAACGATTCGAACTTCAGGGCACAAAACGATAAACCTGAAAAGCTCATAAATCCTCTGTCAAAAGGCAGCGATGTAATGCTTTCCCAACAGTCACCTGAACAGAAAAAAGGTCCTTGGAGTCCACTCTCTCCACTAAAAGTTAATGCTGAGCATTATCAACAATCAAAACTTCAGGAAAAATGCGATGTTAGTGGCACTTCACCCAAAGGTGTCGACAAACAGAAGGTCATATTGTCCATGCCTGAAAATGGAGCCGAATGCGACCTCCCAAACAAAGACAAAGACAGTCTACTTGGAAGGATAATTAAAAGTCCATGTCTTACCAGAAGAGGCTCTATCGGAAATGTCCTTAACGTCTTGTCTCCAAGCCCAATGAGAAAGTGTCCATCGCCTTCACCCTTTATAACCAAATATAATGCTGAAGATGTTTGTTCGGACTCTACGAAGGCTCAAGATGTGAAACAATCGTCTGGTGCACCCAAACCGAAAGGGCTATTGGCAATCGTTCAGAAACACGTGCTGAACCACACCCAGAAGATACAGCGAAAAAGGCGAAATTCCATTGCTTCCACATCACCTCATACGGGAGCTTTAGAAATCTCTTTAAGAGATTCTTTTGACACTGAGATGAACTATTCTACCGTAAAGTCGACTTTATCAGCATCTCAAAACAATGCTAAACAGTTTTCGAACCGAATCAGTAACAGCAAGAGTAGCAGCACTTACAAGCAACAAAATGGGCAGCTAAGAACACAGATCGCTAGTCAAAAGGACATAAAACAAATAATCGGTAAAAACGCTTCTGTGGCGAACTCGAATTTATCAACACCCACTATTAATTCGAGCGAAAACAGCAATAATAGAGGCAGTCGTAACCAAAACAACGAGCAGCTAAATGCGAAGATCACAAATCATAGGGATGTAAAACAGAAAATCGATTCTAACTCACTTAACACAAAATCAGCTATATCGGCTACATGTAATTCCTTTTTGAGCGACGGCAGCAATAATAGCAGCAGTGACAGGCAACACAATGAACAGCTGAATGCGCAGAACACTAAGCACGAGAAAGTAAAGCACACGAGCAATACTAATTCGTTTTTCGTGATGTCGACTGCAGCAGCACCTCCAAATGATACCTCTTTAAGCGACTACAGCAACAGAAGCAGCAGTCGGAACCAGCAGAACGAGCAGCTGAATGTTGAAGGCAGTCCCTTTGGACGTGGCGAAAATAATTTTAGTACTCCAACGCCAGCTGCTTATGGCGCACACACAGAAAGTCCCCAAACAAGCTACATTAATGGCCTCTTGTCTTCTACATCTAGACGACTCGTTGGTTGCGAAAGCATAGATGTCGCTGGATTACAGTCGGATTTAGCCTCAGTAAAGCCAGCGCAGAGAAAAATAAGCGCTCCAGCAGCACCAAAGAGCGTCGATTCCCCACAACGCAAAACTAGCGTAAATATCATCAAAAGAGCGCCTATTACTTTTGTGATCTCAAACAAAAAGGATGAGGAAACCGGAGTAAGAGAAAACGGATCGGAGTGCCTAATGGATCGTGGCGTGTCTTTCACAAATTCAAGATTCCTTCCCATAAGCCAGAAGGAGGCCAAAGAGAATTCTTTGATGAAAGAAGAAGAGGCATCTAATTTGTCGAATAAAACGGTTAATTCTACCGTCACGATGAGTTCACGCGTAACTGTCCACGGTGGAGGCGGAACCACTGTTCGTAAAACAGGAGTTGCTGGAATACAAAATCCTGTTAATGATTCCCTTCCCACTGACGAGCGGTTTGCGGCGCTCAGTGAGAGATACGCTTCTTTGAAAGCGAAACTCGGAGGAAGTGACTCAAGACCGAAAAATCAAGATTCTTCTCCCAAGGAGTCTCCCAAAGATCACAGTTCAAATATCGGCGAAACGTCAACACAGCTGAAGTGCTGGACAACTGTGGAAAGCATACCGATAGGTGAATATCAAGACAACACATTTGGCAAGGGTGTCGATGAGACATGCACCGAAGGCAAAAGGAAAGTAATAGAAGGTGACAGTGAACAAAAACGAATATATTTCACGGAAAATGTGAATGAGAATGATGCAACCTCTTGGAGAAATATTGTCAATATTTATGACACCGAAAGCGACGTCAAAATTGACGAGAATAACAACGTTAGCAGGGACACTTATCCTCCAGTTTCCAAGATGGAGAAAGAGAAAGGCGGGATCCCAAGCACTGAAAGAACTGCCCTTCAAAGGGCCCGAACTAGCGTTGTTGCTAAACTGATGGACAGAAAAATGGGCATCAGAAGAAAGCAAAGTATTGTACCTCGCGTGATAGAAAGACGGTCCAAGGTTTACAAGGAATACTGTACCGCAGACAGTGGTATTCCAGCAACTGTAGCGCAATTTGAGAAAATAAGGACAGTCGTTGAACAAACCGTGCTTCGCGCACCTGTACGTCAAGAGGTACCGTTGATAATGAACCTGGTTTTCTTGTTCCTAAATCAAAATGCGATTCCCGATCTGAAAAATGCTTATGCATGTAACTAAAAAGGATTTAACTTTAGTCCTTTTTTTATCACTGAAATGACTCCATTTGATGAGTTAAAACATGTTTAGTTTTTATTATCCCCAGAAAGGAATTATTTTGGAGCTAAAAGTTTAACTCCATTTTTAGAAGAATGAGAACAACTCCACTGAAAGTATTAAATAAACTCCCACCGTGGAGTCATTTCAAGGCCAGATTTGGAGTAAAAATTGGGAGTTGAAATGACCCCCAAAAAGGAGTTATTTTGAACCTAAATTTGAACTCCGTTGTTGGGGTAAAACAACTCCCATAAAATTCCCGTGTTCACGTGCATTTTTGTGGGGTGGAAGGAGTAGCCGAGATAGCTTCTCTCCTTCCCCCCAACAGATAACATCAACGAGATCATGACATATTAAGACAGAATCCACCAGGAAGTTGAGTAATTTCAATTTTCAGTGGACAAAAACCTATTACCAGAATAATTTAAAGCATATTACATTCTTTTATACATTTTTCAAGGTCTAAAGATGTAATTAGTCATCTGTAATAACACTAAGAAAATTTCTTATGGGATCCCGAGAAAATTACAAAATTACATCTAAAATTACATCTGACACATGAAATTTTCAGTATTTTAGCTGTGTTTTCACAATTCTTGTGAAATTTGACAGTCATTTGCTCGGACTCCCATGAGAATGTTTTTCTGGTTGTTATCACAGATAACTAATTTCATCTTTGGCCCTTGAAAAATGTAAAAAGAATGCAGTGTTCTTTAAATTATTCTGGTACAAAGTTTTTGTCCACTGAATATTAAAATTACTCAATTTCCTCAATTTCCTGTCTTAAACAAAATTTGCTTCTAGATACAACGAATTCACAAAACTATATGTAAATTCAACATGACTTTTAAGTCGTTTCAGACTTTTCTGGGAAACGTCGTTGAATTTGATCCACCTTGGAAGGTTTCTTTCATACTTGTTCTTGTTTGTAAAGTCATCCTTGCTCAATCCCTTTATTTAAGAGCATGATCTTCTTAAAAAGCATTTACAAGATTACAGTCCGGACACTCAAACCGGGACACTTGGAAGAAGATGTCCAATCACAACGTTTTCTGAAAACAAATTCTCAAGATTCTCAAGTTTTTTTCGCAAAGAGACCAATAAAATTGAAGGTTAAAAACCGTTAAAAACTGGAAACTGCCCTCAAATTTTTAATGTTATTTGTCCGTTTGCCCAAAAAAATATTGCGAATCTTTTGTTTTCAGAAAACGTTATGATTGGACACTCTTCTTCAAAGTGTCCCGGTTTGAGTGTCCGCATTGTCAATGAAATGCTAAGGCGACTTTTTTATGATTACAGGCTTTGACAATTCAAGACCTTTTAAGTGGTCTCTCGTCCTCTTTGACTGAAATAGAGTTGACTGCCGTTTGTAAAGAATGTTGCAAGACTTTGCGGACTTTAGATGCACTGGGAAGTTTGCGTATGTATTACAATTCGCTGCTAGCAGAAACCTCTTTTCCTTGGCGGCCGGGGGGAAAAGAGTCTCTTTACCTTCCGCCCGCCGAATGCAAGGAAAAAAAGGCCTCTGTTAGCAGGGAAATATTACCTGTAAAGATTATGTAAACATTTAAGTAAGCGTAACAAAAAGGATATACACTTTTAGTAAAATCCAACTATTGGTCTTTTGTCAACGCTGCGTTCTGATTGGTTGAGCTACCAGGCTATATGTTATAGCCCACTAGTGGCGAGAAGCTCCGGCTTTGAAAACTAAACCAATGGCGGCTGAATCGCGTTTTGCTAGCTAAAGTTGTTTTGCCTCGATATTTTTGACCAACTAGATGGATTTTACTAAAAACTATTGTTCCTCTCACTCTCATGGCCTCAGAATCAATAGCCCATTCGGCCTTCGGCCTGATGGGGTATTGACTTAAAGCCCATTCGGGCTCGAGGAATAGTTGTAAAATATACACTATCAATATTGACCGTTTTCACCGAGACCATAATGCACCTTGTTTACCCCTCAAAATTTTGCATTAACCATTGGCTCGGTTTTGAACGCAGCAGAGTAAAATAAGTGTTCACCACTTAAACATTTCCCATAATACATCTTGTTTGCTTCCCCAAATTTTACATAACCTTTGTGTTTATATTCTTCTGGATATTACATTCGTCCCACGAAAAAAGTAAAGACAATACTCATGCCATTTTTTTGCGCGAGAGAGTAGGAGGCAAACAAGGTGTGTTATGGGAATGCAATTTGTGTTCAAATGTTCTTCACGGCAGTGGCGTCACTGCCGAAGGAGCAGTAACTGGATATGTCCGCTGTGGCTTTGTTTTTTGGCGGTAAATGCGATAGTCTTCTACACAGCCGTTGTTTGTGTCGTCACGCAACGATCCTCGTGGCCAGGAAAGTTGGGTAACGACAAAAACAACGGCTGTGTAGCAGACTACAAATGTGCATGCTTCAACTACAATAGTTACAATTTCACCGTGATTCTTGTATCTGACAGCTTGTTACGTGTCCTTGGAGACTGTGATCATCAACCCAAGTGGAACTATCAAGTTCAAGCATCTCAGTACAGGTTTGCAACGACCATGTTTTCTTTTCTTTTCAATGTTGTCCATCCTCTGTTAAAAAAAAGACTAGCCAAAAACAATAGCAACAATAAACAGGGTATTTTTAAACCCGCAAGCGGATTTTGTCGTAGACGATAAATTTGTATGACACTAAGGTGTTTGTCCACACTTATTCCCTTTCATTTTAAAACGTATACATTTATAATCGTTTTGGCCTTTTGCCCACACTAAAACTCGATAGAAACGGAGGTTGTAAAAACGATTGGTTTTTTTGAAAACGTATTTTGCAATAACAGAGCGATTTTTTGCGCGTTGATTGGTCGAGAGCTAAGGTTGATGAGAACATAGGCCATGGAAATAGGCCATTTCTGAGTTCCAACAACTCTCAGGGGGTGTTTACACGACACCGGGGCAACTTTCGCGCCGCTGCGAGTTCAGTCCGGTACCCTCTCACGGCTCAACATTTGTTTTCATGAAACCACCACAAAATGTCATGCCGGCGCGAGTCACCCCGGCGTGAGTTCAGCCCGGTTGTTGCACCGCAGCGAGAATTTCACTCCGGTACGAAATCTCGCAACAGTATCATGTAAACGCGAAACGACCACCGGTTTTGGTGTGAAATCGGTCTGCCAGTGGACTGGAACAGGTAGCGCATGCGTAATGTTTGCGATTTTGAATCGCTCGTGTATTTTATCAACATGAAGTGTACCTTCAAATGACCTTCAAGTTTCCCAACCATATGTCATTACCGGTAAAATGTACTCGTCGTGTATCTTCCTCTTTATCTTGATGCTTGCCTTGCGGCTACTCAGAATGTTATCCACTTCACCAACGCTGCCCAACCAAGTGCGATCCTCTTCCTAATCTCAGGAAGCAGGTCACCATCTTTCGTCACCGTCTTTCCTAGGTATACGAAACTATCGACCTCCTTGATGTTTTCTCCATTAACAGTAATTGTGCACTTTTTGGCGTGTTCATTGAACATTACCTTTGTCTTGCCAAGATGGATATCAAGGCCGGCTGGTTTGCTTGTATTATGAATATCAGTGAGCATACTTGTCAGCTCTTCTGGTGACTTGGCAAACAAGATGATATCATCAGTGAAAATTAGATGGGAGAGGTATCCACAGTCAATGTTTAGACCCCTACCGGCTTCCCAGTCGATCCTCTTTACTATAGCATCTTGGAGACATGCTGTGAAAATTTTAGGCGATATATTGTCACCCTGTGTTGCACCCCTCTCCAGCTTGATTTTGTCACTGTCCCTGTGGAGTTTGAGAACAGAGGTGGCACCATTGTACAAGTCACGTAAGATGGTAATGTAAGCCTGATCAACTCGTTGATTCTCTAATGCCTTGAAGAGTGCTGTGAACTCGACGGAATCAAAGGCCTTCTGGTGATCCACGAAGGCAAAACAGAGTGGGGTCTTGTACTAGTTTGCCTTTTCTTGTAGCTGGTTAACCACCTGAATGTGATCAGTAGTAGAAAATCCCGCTCTGAAGCCTGCTTGCTTTCTTGAGTGATGTTGCTCCGAGGTGCTTAGTATTCTTCGAAGTAGGATTTGTGAAAACACTTAGTACGTTACTGGTAAGAGGCTGATCGGCCTTTAATTCTTGATATCAGGTGTGTCTCCTGTCTTGTGGACGATGATTACCGATGCATTCTTCTAGCTGCTGGGAACTTTGCCATCCGCAATGCATCTTTTGAATAGCTTCGTGAACATCTTGACAATGGGTTCCCCCATCCTGCAGGATGCCAGCGGTAATATTGTAAACGAAATCAAAAAGTCATGTCGGTATGAAACTCGCGCCGATGCGAGTTTTCTCATGTAAACACCCCCTCACTTTCAAAACGAGACTGACTGCAAACCTTTCTAGTGAAGGTGAGTTTCATTTGCATGAGAATTAAAATTATTTTCATATCAGTGGCTTTGCACTTGCCTCGCTTTGAAATAGAGGCTTTGAACATTTTGTGATGAAAATTAGGGATAAAAAGTCACGACGTTTCGATGTTTCGAGATCGAAATGTCGTGACTTGTTATCGCTTTTTTTTTTATCTTAAAATATATATCCAAGAAATTTCCCATCAAGATTTTGAACTTTTTGACGTCATATTTATGGTCGATAAAAGAATAGACCATGGAACATTAACGTCAGTTTGTTGAATCAGTAATAACCCAGTAAAGCAAGATTGAGACCATGCTCACACTGTACCGTATATCTAAATTTGCGCCGGCACGAAAATCATACCGGATAGGGATTCTGTTCACACATAAGAACGGTGATTTTGGCGCGAGTTCTGTAACGAAGCGAAGCTGCGCCGCCTCGAATTCGAAAGTGGAATGTTAACAGCGTGCGGACCGTAGCGGAAGTGAATGATAGGAGCGAGGACTGGAATCCAATGAGGAGGAAGTTGATGTTCAGGAGCGAGGACTGGGATTTAGCTCACCAAACCCTCTCGGCCAACCGCTCCGGCAAGATGTTCAATGTGTGTGAACGACTTGCTTCAGTTCTGAACCGTAGTTGTTCGTACTATACCGAATGGCTTTTCGTGTCGACACGAAAAGCAATCCGGTATTGAATGAACCTAGTCTAAAGCGCCCTACTGGTCAGACTGGCCAATGAATGTCTTAATTGAAACCGTTCGGTCCTAAGACCTGTCCAAATCATTTGTTCGGGTAAATTCCAATATGTTGGAAACTTATTAAAGAGGAGCATGATTGGTCTCATCATAGGTTTTCGTCCACAAAAACCGGGGTGTAAAAAACTTTATTGCATGGACAGTCTTCTAAGGGTTAATAATTTTCGCTCTCTTTGATAAACTGAATTGCTGCCTCATAGAATGTTCAGTGGGATGTTAAAGATTTCGGAGGAGAAAGTGTATAATTTTTAATCAGTAATAAAAATCGTGTTACGAACTCTTTGGCATCTGATCTGTTCCTGAATTACTTGTTAAAATACGGTGATCATAAAAAACTCTTCCATAAAGATAATTAGAAATAAATTGCAAGGTTTTAAATGAAATGAAAAAGAAAAACAACAACAACATGAAACTAGTGTCAAGAAATCTTTTGAGTTTGTTTTACATGTATAACGGTCACCAAAAAGAACCGCCTTTTAACAAGCCAGTCTCTGACCAAAGATGGTAACTGTGGTATTAGACTCTCAAGTTATGGGATGATTGACCTTCATAGGTTTTCATGAGCTTATTTGCATAGACTTGACATCCGTGGCTCTCTCTTTCACCTAATTTGATAATTTGAGCAATTAACTAGCTAACCGCGAGAAATCGGAATACAAGGCCCTATACTAGACACTAGAATCCGGGATCACTAAGATAATTTACCAGACGACTCAAAATATTCAATTGGCCTGGTGACTGTCCAATCCTCCAAATCTAGTTGTTAATTAAGCTCATCAAGTTTTATAATAGCCTCGAGCAAAATAGCACAACAGGTTATTCTCTTTGTTTTTCTGGTTTTAAATAGAATCTGTCGAAACAATAGTGAGTAATTTTCAGTCTGCTGTTAAATTGGGTTTACCGTTATTCCCCAGAGGTATTCTGCTCGCTTTCAAGTCACTCAAAACAATAATCACGACTCTCGTTTAAGAGTTTCTTTAAGTTTGGCGCATTTTTGGAAAGTATCGAATTCAAGAGATGTCCGTAAGTTGTTTCTAACAGAGAACACTGTTCACTGAGGCATATATTTCTGTGAAATATCCGCCTCTTGATGTCATTTTAAAGTAGACCTATGTTCCCTACCAAGTAAGTGCAGCAACTCAATATCATAAACTAACAGTTATTGTTCAATTGTCACTAACAACTCTCATCGTTGACTTGCCATGTTATATCTGACCTCGAGCCAGTAAAATACTTGAAAGACGTCTTTCTTGTTTTGTGTATTAATTACGGTGGAGGTACGTTTGTATTCAAGCTCCTGTACACTTTTGTTGTTGCTAATTTGCGTTTCAATTGCCGACTCGAAATTACTTTTACTTACTAGTAACTCTTAAGAGCGCAACCTATCACTGAAATGCAATCGCAAGTTCTAAGTTTTCTTTATTCTAACTGCTTGCACGATGTCAGTTAAAACAAACGTGCTCAGTTAGTCACAGAGATTTCTTTTGTGAGCCATAAAGAAGGATTAGTAAGCAAATGCAGTGCTATATATAGGTTTTCTTACGGACAATAGGACGGGTGAAAATGTACAAAGACGACCCTTTCTATTAGACTACTTGTACATCGTGCACAAACCCTGTCCTTTTGTGTCAGCTGACGCGAATTTCTTCGATTTATCGATCACATATAGTGCATGAAGGGTCATGCTCTTTGACTTGTTAGCTGAATGTAGTGATTACGTAATTAAACAATCGGTAGTAGGTTGAAATTGCTCGTCTTCCATGCGGATTCCTTTGTGTTCCTTAAATCCTTGTGTATTGTATGTGTAGGTCGCTTTCGTAGTTGGCGCGTCAACAAAGTTTTTACCACTTCTGTCCGCTTACTTTAGATCAAGTTAAACTATAAATTAAACTAGCTAAATTAACAACCCATGCGTAAAATTCTCAAGCCATTCAATAATCTTCATATTGAAACCACTTGTTCCTCTTTATCTGTTAAGAGACTCGTGTTATAACATATCACTTTCAACACTATTTACTCAGGAAAAAGATCTTTATTAAACCGTTAATCTTTGTTTAAGGCTTTGTGTGTTATAGACTCACTGATAGAAACATTTGTTTGTTGTGCGTGCAAACTAATTCATTACTTGTTGTTGTTGTTGTTTATCGCAGGAATTTCTATTGATGATCTTTACCTGGCTCCAGAATACTCAAACAAATTTTCCTCGGAAAAGGTAGGATAGAAAATTTCACTTTTTCAGCAATAATGTTTTCACTTTTTCTTAGAGTATCTAATGAACACCTCACTGTGAACAACGGTTACTGTTATGTCCTTGTGAACGCTTTTAACTGTTTCATTCTCACAATGTGCCAGAAGGGCGACCGATTTAAAAGTAAAATGTTTTCGTTGTTTTAGTTTCTACGACAAAACAACAGCTAAACAGTAAGGGAATGTTACTGGTTTAAATGCGAATAATCAACTGAAACATAAACGGAAAGATTGCAGTAGATAAACTATCAAGACAAAGCTGATTCTTGGATCGAAAAGTCTAGATGGTCTTTCAGTTCATTAGGAATAAACTTTTAACTTTAGACGGGTATAAAACAAAAATCCGCCACATAAAGCACATCGAAATTGGGAAAACCGTCCTTTAGTTCACGCTGCCTTATAGTCTAATTTGACAAATCAGTGCTAAGGTTCTTGTGTTGAGGACTAGCGAGCAGGAAGTGCTGGTAATATCTTAACAATACAGAGACAAATTCCCTTCGTTTATTAACGGATAATCGGCGTTGTGTACTCTCTTGGCACTGGCAAAGTCATGTTTGTATCAGAAGAACAATGCCCTCTGCTGTGTATCATAAAATACAATATACAGTATAGGTTTTTAAAGTAAAAACCATAGGCAGTGCATTGATGTGATTCTAACGTTTTACTTCGTAGAAACGAGTCTATAAATCAAATGACAGCTTTTGAATTTGTTGCGGATCAAATCACTATTATATGGTTTGATACATTCAAGTAAACACCACCTAAATCGTAGTTTCTCGTGATACCGTTCAAACTGTTTCCCAATTAAAGTGTTTTAATCTGTGCATAGCATTACTTTCCGTGATTTCAGTTTAACGTTTTACTTCGTAGAAAAGTCCTTCATACAAATGAGAGCCATTGGAGAAAAACTTGCCTATGATTGCTGCCTTTAGTGAAGGTCGATTAAACGTTTTCAGCTGTAGTTGAGTTTGTTGATGAAATCACAAGGTCGGATATACAAACTGAAATAAACACCACTTATAATGTCGTAGTTTCTCGAAGTACCGTGAGAAGTGGTTCACAATATAATTAGAGTGTTTTAATCTGTGCATAGCTTTTCTTGCTATGATTCTAATCCTTTTACTTTGTGGAAGGTCCTTCATTCAAAGGACTGCCATTGGTGAAAAACTTTCGCGTGTATTGCCTACACTGCCTTAAAGTTTTCGGATGTTGAATTACTTGATGAAATGATAAGATTAGATACATTCAAATAAACACCGCTTAACGTATAATAAGGTTCAAAGTGGTTCCCAACTGAAGTCTCGGTTTTTATCTGTGCATAGCATTACTAACGTTAAAACCATCTGTAAACTTAAAGCTATTACAAGTGAGGTTAATGGAAAACTTAATCAAGGTATAGTTTTTATCCAGTTTTATCATAATTACAGCTGTACTCTTAAAATCGCCTAAAATTGAGCGGTGAACTTGATTAGAAAAAAAGGAAAAAGTGCGTTCGCAACAGGCTATGTGAAAAATAAACGCTCTCTAGTAATTCCCTTCACAAGCGCAACGCCTCTGCTACTCTCATAATGCAGTGGTGCAACATTGGAATTTTATATTAATTATTAGTGGCTGAATTTGTTTGCTGACGAAGGTCGATAGAATTGTCTCTCTAGATGACAGGTGTGATATATTGAGCTTTATCTGCTTGTACGAGCAATGGAATCCGCATCGAGAGATATTAATGATCGTTCTCGGTTCTGTCATCGCAAGTCAACTATTGAACTAGATCCCGTTTTTAGTGAGGGAGTCGCCGGTCACCTTAGCCTTAACTAAAACGTCAATATAGCTGACGTTTTTTAAAAAATGTTCGCATCAGAAACAACTTCCTTTCCCCAAAAATAATATTTGTGAACAAATAAATCAATTTTGAAATCATTAACCGAATCGTCTTCCTTCCTATGACGGGGGGTTCGTGAAGGTTTAATGATGACATAAATTTGTCCTCAATTTTTCCTCTTCCTTCCAGCATCACTCACAATATCCACCGTTAAAAATGAAAGCGAGTTTAAAGCGTATTTAAGAATTAACAAATCATCTGCAGTTTTATTAAGATTAATCCCATATTTTTGGATAATTATTTTCAGTTCTTGATCTTTTTGTTTTTACTTCCTAATCGACGTTTTTTTTACGGCTTTGGTACATCCGGACCATGTTAGTAATGAGTTTGAATCCAGTTAGTTCTGAAGGGTACACTAACAAGAGTATCTAAACATTCACCAGCTTCCCAACCCGGAAAAAACTGGATCATTAATCAAAACTGACAATGCCATTAGGGACCCTAAGATCCGACGATGGCGACGGTAACGGGAACGCCACAAAAGCAATAGGTTTAATTAGCAAAACAACAATTTCGCACGTGCATCACGATGTACAGAGGAAGTACACAAGCGACGACGAAATTTCCTCTCTCTTTCTGAACTTGGATATGGTTGTTAGGAATTCAACTTTAGGAGGGTTCGCCTACATTTGACAAAGTTAGTGACTTAGAGTAATCATGATGAAGATTGAAGATCATTGAAAGATCGCGAATTCACTTTTTAGCGACGTTTTCTCTGCCGTCGCCGTCCTCGGATCGTAAGGTCCTTAATGTCATCCTTGTGTCTTTGGCCTTGAGGTCAACTCTGACTCGCATTAGGAGAGCTCTGTATCCTGCAAAATATAGGCATTTTCGCTGTGTTAGTTACTGAACCCCTTTTTTCAATTCTGAATCTATTCGTTAAAACTATATGACACCACTCCCAGACTTTTGGTAGTCTTTGCACTAGAGCTTAAATAAGCTAAGAAATAGTTCAAGACGAGTAAATTTTAAATTGTTCAAGTAAAGAAAGCTTCACACACAACCTATCTTTTTTACTTCAGGTTTACTTTAAGCCTATTTTCCCACGCAACGTAATTAAGATTGATTGACATGCTTCGCCTTTCTCAAAGCTTAGAAACCGCGAGTTCGCTAAGTCGGTTCTAAGGATGGTTTTCAAGTCACTTGAAACTTTCTTAAATCATTTCAACTTTCCGACTTTAATGAGATGAAAAGTTTGGTTACTTGAGATTTTACTTAGGCCTTCACAAACGCATTTTTGGCTGAGTAAAACTTAGCAGCTCTTAAGTCTTACATAACAGCCTAGTGTAAAGACAACCATTATATCTAAAGTTATTTTGGAATCGAAAACAAGTGTTTTGTTGAAGTGACAAGGGGTGCAAACCATTGACACAAACCACCCGTGTGGAAATCCTGTGCGTAAACATAATAAAACTATAGAATTTGACGTGGTTGGAGAACAACCGCTACAAAGTGGATCCAATTCAGCTGAACAGACCGAATAGAGTAGAAAAATTGCATCCCCTCAATTCACAGCCCATATTTTCTGAAGCTTCCCAACCTAAACGGAATAGCGCGAACCATTTGATTTTCTAACCGGAATTTCCGGTTTTCTCATGTAATGGTAAGTACCCCATCATTTCTTGCATCCGCTTTAACGATGGCTGACTCCTCTCGGTCCTGAATAAGAATGTGACATCCACAAAGTAAACTTTATAGGTTTCTGGAAAATTTGGCTCCAAGAGGACAGTCAGTAGTATGTTAAAAAGCGGTCGCTGCTGTTGTTGTGACCTAATACAATTGGCCGCCATTTTCCGAGTTGACCTAGGTCTTATTTTCAAAATGAGGTTAAGCCGCGCGAACTCTTTGGTAGGAAAAAAAATGTTTATTATTATGCAAATAATAGTTATTTTTACATGACAGGTCTTGAACTTGACACTATGAGGTTTTGGAAACCGTAAAATGGACTCTTAGACCTGTCCAGTTTAGATTTTATGGATCACGGTCTGCTAGAAAAGAACAATCTTGTCTTGGGCAAGGTCATACAAGGATTGTATTGTTCCTTTGTTTCGGAAGAATAGGTTCTTAACGGGATAATTACATGGACAATAACCTGTATACTCTCTTTCTGGGAGTTGATCCTAAAGTTGTTTTGACGCCGAAGTTAATGACTTTTTATATATTTATTCGAGAATCAAAGTGGTCATAAAAACGTCCCCCGAAGGGATGATTATACCAAAATACCATTCATATGCCGTTTCCGGCGAACGCTTGTATTTTCCCACTCTGGTGCTGTTGGCTCATTTTTCCTCAAGTGCTAAGAAACCGACTGAATTTGAGAAAAAGTGTGATTGGAAATTTTTAGTCGCTTAAACGCAACACGGCGATTTATTGTGAGCTTGTGACGTCATCAATGCACGAAAGCATTATTCTCGCAGCACCTTAAGATTTTGTGTCTAAAGACTCAATATTTGCTACTCATTGTTCAGCAACTGACTTTAAAAAGTTACACTGTAATGTCAACGATGGAAGACAGTTCTAGGTGCGAACGTAGAAAATCAAACAATTGTTGGACGGGAAGCTGTGCAAATTTACAGGTAAAAATTATTTTTTTGAAGCTTGATGGTAGTGTTTAGTTTTGCCTGTTTGCTGTTTCTCTTCGGCATTACGGAACTGTGTTAATTTCTTTCTTGTAGTTAGATAGCAGACCTGTTTTAGCCTTGTTTTAGCCTGCACTGCAGTGAAGCCAGTGATCGGTATTCTCAGCACAAACTATCTATGAAAGTGCCCTTTCGTTTACTCATTGAACGATATGATAGTGTGTGAAGAAATAGCGAAACAACTGCAATGAAGGCACACAAATTAAGGAGAAGAGGTAGATCGATTGGATTGTATTCCAGAAAGGAACCTTTTAATTTGGGAAAATAGTAAAACAAAACATTGTTTTCTTTTAGATGTGGCTAAAACTAGAAATAATTTGTTTTCGAAAGCAAAATGCGTGACCGGAAAGCAAGAGCCAGGAAACACAAGTTGCGTGCGCACCATTCGTGCAGGCTAAGCTGACAAAAAATTTCGCGTCCGCGAATGTCCTTTGGTATATAAGTTTGATAATTTTTTAGTCGAAAGGCTGTAGTTGCAACCCCGGAGATATTTTTTCTAAAGAAGAGATGGAATAAAAACTTGAGATCGGTTGATTAAGCATAATTGGAACAGTGTTATTTCAATAAGCGCGACGGGCATAATTTTCGACTACCCATGGTATTGAGTTAAAGAGTTTAAATGGTTGCGCTCATGTTGTTTGGGAAAGCCCAGAGCCTTATTTCCGTTCTGTTTCAAGAAGAACTTCAGTCATATGTCAGTACACTGAAGCCATTTATACACTTGCCATCAACCTTTGATTGATAAAGTGAGAGACGATTGTCTTTTGGAGGGTTAGGCTAATGTGTTCAAGGTCTGTCTTAAGATTGTGTCTTAGAGAATCGACAAAGAGTAACGATTGTTTAGAATCATCTCCCGGAATGCGGCCGTAAGAACGCACCCTTATTTACGATAGAATAAGCAAACAAAGACTCTTCTGTATATTGAGACATCTCCGCCTTTATTGATTGGTGTTACATAAGGTAGCCATATTGCCTCAAGGTATTAAGGTGGATCCGCAGTTGTTGCGAGGGTAGCTAGTGATCTAGGACGAACTTTGTCTTTGTCGTCGGCGTTTTCGATTTCAATGCGGCGGCTACGAAACTTTGTGAAAACCTGCATTCAACAGTGATATGAAAAAAATTCATCCGACAGGTGACAAATATTTTTTTTGTGAAATTAAAGCTTAAGTGGACTCCTCTTTTACAAGAAAATCGTGTGCTCAATATCACGAACGATTTAGCGCAACAAAATATTTTACACTTATTCAACACTACTGATCAAGTACACGATTATAACACTAGATCCTCGTCAAGATGTGATTTCGAAATTAAATTTCCAAGACTAGATAAACAAGGGAAATCATTTTCAAGATTGGGGGCCAAGATATGGAATTGGATACCTCCGAGTATTAGAAAACTCCTAAAGTATAGTTTTAAAAAGAAAATACATGATTGCTTACTTCAAATCCATTCACAGACAGACGACTATCCTGATTTAGTAAAATCCAACAAGTGATCTGCTATCAATGCTGTGTTCTGACTGGTTGAGCTACTACTAGGCTATATGTTATAGCTAGCCCACGGCTGAATCGCGTTTTGCTAGCTTAAGTTGTTTTGTCTCGATATTTTTGACCAACTAGTTGTATTTTGCTAAAACAATTATTCTTCTCGCCCTCGACGGCCTCTGAGTCAATAGCCCATTCGGTTTTCGGCCTCATGGGCTATAAACTCAAAGCCCATTCGGGCTCGAGGAATAATTGTTAACTACCTACCTTATTAAGACAAATGCAACGTATTCAAAATCGTCCGTAACTCACCGACTCATTCTTTGCAATCATCTTAATAGTGTACGTCTTGTAAGTTTCTGATTTATAATCTGTATTCCAGTTAACCTCAACATTGTTAATTCGCGTTTTAAACGTAACTTTTCTTCGGCTCTTTACCATTTGTATAATTAATAATCAATAAATAAATAAATAATCAATAAATAATCAATAAATTACTTTTATTGACTTTTCAATTGAATACAATTTGGAGTGTTTAGGTGTATTTTGTTTTATATAGACAGACACTGCCCACCTAGACTAGCCTTTGCTATTTGTGGGCAGTGAGAAAATAAAATAGTACATCTGAATTAGCCAATGAAATGAAACGAAAGTGCAGGGAAAAATTTTGCTCTTATTGCTGGCGTAAATGTGTGTTGTCATGTTTTCTGAAGTATAACACGTTTGCCAAATAAATTTCAGCCAAGAGAAATCGTTGGAGCAAACGTCCGCTGCTAGTAAGTCTTTCTGAATTCAGCTTTGAAATTTCTTTGGAGTTTGCACCTTTGAGAACTCCAAAACAATCTAAAATCTGAGCTCAGAATGACATACTAGTTTCGGAATTTTGCCCTTGGCTAATCATTTTTCTGAAATTTATTTGGCTTTGGTATATTATCAATAAAAATTAACACCAGACCCTTAAGCCAAAAAAGCAAAGTTTTTTACTGGAAGTAAGTGAGGTCTACTTAAGCTCTAAGTCCGTATAAAATATTTAACGCCAGTCAAATAGAATTGTTTCGTATTATTGCTGAACGATTGCTACAGATCTTCTCAAAGTTTATGTAAGTTTCGTAACCGTTGCTTCGAAACCTAAAAAGGTTTAAAGACAAAGTTCGTCATCGATCACTGCGCCTGTAATAACAACGGAGCCACCCTAAGTACCTTAAGTAAAGCGTAAGAACATAGTTAAATGGTGACAGCAATGGATGATAGTCAGTCTTTTGTCTAGGAACAGCCGGTGTGTCTCATATTTAAAAAAAAAAACATATCACCGGAGGCAAGTTATCCAGACGAACACTAGAGGCGCCAGCTGAAATGGGCTGTTGTCACGAATGTTATCAAAATTCTTACAGTAGGAACGGCCATCAAATTAAGTGAAACAAAAATTATCGCTCAAAACAAGAAAAGAGGGTATACTATTCATAACACAGCAAAAACAAAAATAGGCACGGATGGACAAACTTGAAGAAGACTGAAACGGATTGAAATTGTGAGTTTTTGAAAACTTGTCAGCTTAATAGTTTTTAAACATTTTTGTTGTTTGTAACGTTTGATGTAGTGCTAGGAGGTATATTTGATAGAGAAGAAACTGCGATTTTGTTATTAATAAGTAATTTCCTCGTTAATGTTAAGGTCCATAACGCATAAGGAAGCGTAATTGGCGATTTTAACAAAAAGGACTAGACAGTCGGTGACACACGACTATCCTGTCTCGTGAGCTCCTTTAAATAACAACATTGAGAGCTTTGGCAAACCAGGTTTAGTTTATACAGAAAATATTAGAGTCCCTACCTTCAGTTGGTTTTGCAGTGTAAGGTAGTTCTGATGTTTGATGCTCAAGTTCAACCATTTATACGAATGTTTCTCAGCAGATTGCTTATTGCTTACTGAGTGTATTATAGACGCACATTACAATTATTTATAGTAGCCTAGACAATCGGCTAAGGCTGTTTTTTTTAAAGAATTCTGACTCGTTTGACATGTCGGGTATTCTATCTCCGTGATCGTGCAGGTGATAGCTACTCATCTCTTGATGCGCCCGCGGGCAGTACCGCGGGATCATCGATCGAGACACCCATGGCTTTAGACTGAGTCGTCTACGCAACAGTCTGACTCTTTGTTTTCACATTCGCTCCTGGCCTATCCTGTAGCTGTAGATTTACATTTGACCTCTTCGCGCATTTATGGCCAACGCAAAACATACAACTCGTGTGGAATCCACTGTTTTTTTAGCTGTGCTGTCGACCAAAGCCTGCGAATACAGGCGTTTCTCCTTGCTCCTCGCCGCTAAGGACTGGAGAAATGTCCCTGGTGGCGAGGAGCTGGGAGAAACGACTGTATTCGAAGGCTTTGGTCGACCAGTCACAGGAGACCTGGGGTCCACTTTAGTCCCCGAGGTCAAGGTCGAGACCTTGCACTCGGGCAACGGCACTGTGCCCGAATTTCAGTGTGGGTGATGGATAAATGGGTGTGTTCACATCAGTGCCCATAAAGTAGCGCACTCTGGCACCGTGCCCGGATACCAGGTGTGAACAGCTCGTATATCAGTTATCGGGTTTACATCTTCTTCAGCTGACCGGTTAAAATCCGACGAGCTTTAGTGCAAACACGACAACCTAAAAACGCCAACCCGATTCAAGATGTCTGTAATGACTATTGTCATCGACCACCGAAAACATTGATGTAATAGTTTACTTGCCCTAGAAGAGCCGATTGACACAAAATTTGGCCATTACTTTTTAGCTGCCATTTGATGAAAAAGTGACTAAATTGGTTTTTCCAGAATGTTTCAAAACCGTCCTTTTACAGATAAAAATGACAAGCTAATCGCATTGTCGGTTTTACGGCTTTGCTATAATAATTACTGGAGAAAACGAGTTTGGATTTGTCAACTTTCTTTTCACATTTTCCTCGTCTTGAACAGTGAAAAGGTGTTCTTTTGTTCCAGCTGGGCGCGCATTGAGTTTCTTTTTCTTTGTGCCAAGAAACGAGTCGTAGTACCGCATAACAATAGAAGCCATTTGTGCGTATAAAAGATTTCAGCGGACATGCGGCAACATTACATCGCATTCAAAACTTTTTAAAGACATCTTTACGTGCTTCAGCTTTCTGCGAACGAACACTAACTTAGTGGCGCATTTGTGTGGCTTCAAGTCTTCAACATTTTAGTCCGATTCAACCTATGCGAAAGATCGACTTAACGACTCGGTCGAAGAAACGACCGAATTTACATGTTTTATTGAGATCTGTTTGTCTGCTCGAAATGTTTGAAAAATGCGACAGCTGTCGAGTTTAATAACAGTTATGGTGCTTTCCACTACGACTGAATTCCTTTGAAGTGTTCCCACGAAATACTGTCTTCCTCGGTAAGTAAAAAAAGAATTCACGCTTTCGCCAAACCTTCTTGTTACTCTAAAAGTGTGAGCCAAACAAGTTTAAAACTGCTGTGTACGGTCCGCTCAGGTTATTCTTTTGATTAGTTTGAGTGGCTATTATCATGGCCCCAAATTTGTAAACACAAAGTTAACTTAGATAGTAGTCGGCAAATGTCAAGTTGTTTGAACTCGATCACTTGACGTTTAGTTGTTTGGGTTTTAGCGTTTGTTTGTACTTTTGGATATCACTCCTTAATGAATACTTTTGTCGATTATTCAGTGTGAAAAAACTTTTTATCCTTCATGTTAGAATAAAAAGCAAAGAAAAAAATGCTTAGTTACACAAGGAAAAATCTCTCTAGCGTATTTTAGGGTGCACAAAATAAGAAGTATCAAAATGCTTGGAGCTACGATTCACGCAAGAATAGCCAGCCTTCCACACTGAGTTGGCCTTGGGGGAGTTCGAAAAATATTTCTTTTTTAAGAAAGAACTGATAGATCTTAGTGGCGCAAAAATTATTTATTGCGCACTACATCATTTCCGTCGTAAAGGCAAGAACTTCTTAGCTTTCCTTCATTTATTTGATGGAGTCATTAAACTAACTTGCTTTTTTACTTGATTGTTCTGTTTACCAAATGCATTGTTTTGTTTCCGGCCATAGCGCTTTGACTTTATCACGAAATGTATAATTGCCCCCTTAGGTATTCTCGAGTGTTAATCAAAGTACTTCATACAATATTGCGGTTTTATTGCGGCATTCATCATTTTATAGAGTTATACGGCTCACTAAAAAACAACCTCGTTTACTGTAACGAAAATGAACTTTAACACTGACCGTCTTAAATACTGTTCAGCTTGAGAGATGGAACTCAGGCAAGTGTAATTTGCATGTGTATTAGAGTCTGGAAACAATAGCTATCACTTAGAAATTACATTTGAAAAAGTTTCATTAAAATGACCCCGGAAAATCTTTTGGGCCATGTCCACACGAATGCGGACTGATTTTTTGAAACCACATATTTTTTTATCCGGATTCGTGTGCGGCTTCACTTGTGAGGGTTCTCAATAGGTTTTTCGGGACCCGGCATTTCCCTTATTTGAAGCTCGGGATGCGGGGTTTGAAAGCAAAATCGGGACGAGTTTCGGGATTGAAGTATGCTTGGGAGGTGGGATGTCAAATATAACCCTCGGGATAACGGGATTTCACGAAATTTTGGGTCGGGATTACGGGATTGAAGAACCCTATTGGGGACCCACACTGGTTTCGAGTAGATGGAAGACCGATTCGTGTAGAATTTACATTTACCATTTACATGGAAAAACCGGAAATATCCGGTTGGAAAATCAAATGGTTGGCGCCATTCCGTTTGTAGTCTCCTTCGCAGCCCTCTCCAAAATAACGCTTCTTCCGTTGTTGGCGTTGAGCATTGCGTGACGAGCATAAAAACGGTTGCGAAGGAGACTATTCCGCTTGGGAAGCTTCAGAAAACATGGGCTTTGACTTTAGGCAATGCATTTTTTGCTACTCTTTCGAGTCTGCTCAGATGATTTGGATAGTACTTTGTGGCGGATTTTTCTCCCACGACGTCAAATTCTATAGTTTTATGTTTTTGCGCAAGATTTCCATTCGGGTGGTTTGTTTCAATATATGGTAAGCACCCACTCTGTCTGTTCTCACTTCAGTAATTTTGCTGGTGTATAATTCCAACCATTCGTAAGCCTACATTGCATGTGAGCAAGTCCTTACGATTACAACGTTTTCTCATCTCTTCACAGACATGCGTATTCAGCCTGGCTGCCACCCTGTGGTCAGCGGCTGACTGGCGGCTGACAGAGGCAGAGAAGCCGTCACTGAGTACCAGGTTCCAAGAGTTGCTGGTATCTATGACAGACGATTGCCCGGACGCTAGGCCAGGCTTATATGACGTACTGCAAGTAAGTTGTCCCAACACGAGAATGGTTCTTTCTGCTTTTTCGATGTTTTGCTCTTCTAGATCAATTAAGGTTTGTGGGAAACTACCCACCTACCCCTCCCCTAAGCTGACATTAACACTTACTTCTCACTTAGGGCAAAAGGTGGCTTAGGGGAGGGGTAGGTGCACAGTTTCCGAGAAACCTAAATTGGTCCGCTTTTCTTTTGCTCTTGTTTTGTTCATGTTTATAAATGAATAACACAAATAAAGGCAGTTGGCTGCAGTTTTCTAGGGTCTCCCCGAGGAGATTGTTAAAATTGGCGACCGAAAAGCGAGTGAAATAAAGACAAAATAAAACAAAAACAAACATAACTAAAAGATAAATATAAATAAATAAAAACAAACATAAAAAAGATATAGCCTGTTTTGTGAAAATCCAACGCTTGATCATTCTTGCAAATGAATGCTTCTTTAATTCATGGAGCTGTAAACAGGTAGTCTATAGTCTTAAAGTAAGTTATTGAAATGAAAGCTACTGAGTGTAGGAGAAGTACTTTCTGCGGTACTGCTTATTATGTCTTTCCTTATAGCCGGCGATATTAAATTCCATAAAATTAGATTCTTAATTATCGTCTAATTCAAATGGAACATAACCAGGTTAAGAATCCCAATTGGTAGGAAGCGAACCAGCTTGCTATTTACAAGGGTGACCAAGGATTTGAACTCGGGACTACAGAGAACAAATCAGGCGAGCGGTTGGGGCGGGTCTTACTCTCGAGGCTTGTGGATTACAAGTCCAGCGCTCTAACCGCCCAGCCACGCTGCCTCCACAGATGGAATCTAATTAATTTATTAAATTTTGATCATTTAAATGAAAATAACTAAGCAGTGTGATTTTCTGTACTGCTGCTTCAGTATTGTGCATTACAACGTAAACACTTTATTTAGAGAGGGTAACACTAAACAGCTAGAAGCTGATGAACTTGTGGCCCTCAAAACATTAGAAAAGAGAAAATTACAAAAAGTGCAAATATCAAAAAACTATTTCTATCTAATGTAAAAATATCTGAAAATCAATGAAAATTATACATGTAATTAAATATTAACAGCAAGCTAAATATATAAATGATTTAGACTAAGCTGTTCATTAAAAATTAGATTAAATAAACTCTTCTTAAAAGCAGGAAGGGAATCCTTACGTCTTAATTCTAAAGATAAATTATTCCACATTTTGCAAGCTCTAACTAAGAAGGACTTTCCACCCTCTGTCTCGCGTATATACTTAGGGCAAACTAAGTTAAATTTAGCATACCTTGTATTTCTGGTATGAACTTTAAAAAAAATGTTCGTTTAAATAACTGGGTAAGGTACTCTGAATAAGTTTGAAAACTGTAGAGCGAACTGCTTATCTTATTTTCTTGTAAGGCTTATAAAGAGGGTCTTACTTTCGTGTCGAGTCGTTGGGTGAAGTGTGGCCATTCAAATGAAGGCTTCTTAGCCCTTTTGCCATTAATTGTGAGAGTTTTTTTATTGTCTTCAATCCACTTGGTTTACGGTCGGTTATGAATGATAACTAAAGGCTGAAAAGTCAAAATGATGTCAATAATGCTAGGGCTTATCTTACTACGTCTCAATCCGAGAGTGTCTTGGGGATCTAAACTTATTTTTGTTTTGCTGTTTCTCGTGTCGAAGTTACAGTAGACTGATTCACAATCAAGTCCTCAGTACCCAAACCTTCGAGTGAATTCGAAGCTTGGGTTGACCTCGTTTGATGTTAAAACTGGTAAGAACAGCACGGTTTACGAGTAGACTGTGCCAACGACTGAAAAAACGTCATTATCACTATTTATTTGTGTTTCCAGACATGCGAATCATTACAGACTGGTGGAGATATGACGTCACGAGAACGATGCCAGGCTCTGCTATGGGAGTACCAGGCCTCCGCAGCCATGGATAATGAGGATGTAAGTTAACTATTGAGAACTTGTGATTTGGATTAGCAAACATATTTTGCCAGTTGGTCCTTTATTATATTTAGGTCCTATTCTGCGTCGAAGGAGGGAAAAGGCCAGCTGGGGCGAGAACGGGGTGTACAGGTGCTGAACAAACATCTCTTACATGGATCCCCTCCCCCCAGAAATCATTCGCCTGCCGCTCCCCTAGGAAGTTTTCCCAGTTTTCCTTTCGATCGTTAGCGTTTTTTCTTTTGAGGGAGGTGGGGGGCTACGGATATACTAGCTAGTAGAATTATTGCTAAAAAGTTCTTTCTTTTGTTTTTCGCACAGTGGTAACTTTTTGAAGAGATTAAAACTCCGGATTTCCTGTATTTGATTGCTCCCACTAAATTATTGGACTGTTTTGTTTACTTTTTGAGCTGTCTACATATTTTTAAGAGAAACCTTAAGTAAACCAAAACCGATACGAGGGACCTGCTCAGTGCACGCAGAAAGAGGACATTGAACAGTACAGAATTGCTTCAGTCACTCAAAATCAGACTTCGAAACATTTATTAGGTTTTTTTCGAAAGCAAACACATTCTCTCCGTTTGACGTCCACTGTCATTAGATGATTAACAATCGATGATTTATTTTCATTATTTGGGGCCTGTTATTGTCAATATTTGCGTTTCTCAAGTACTAATTAACAGTTTATATGGTAATCAAGGTTCATGAGTTTCTGTATTTCATCACCCTTCCAATAAACGCCACGCAGACATTCGATCGATATCAGTCTTCAAAAGTCCTTGTCAGAGCTACTGTGAAGTTTTTAAAATGACACAATCCAAGATGGCGGCACCTGTTGCTTTTCAATCCAACTATCCTTATCATAGTCTACTTAAAAACAGCATACCACGACAAATATGTTTGGTAAGTTTGTTACCTGCTTCTCCGATCCACCATACGTTGTTATGGAAGTACTGAATACCGACCAACAATCACATTTTCTAAAATTTCCAATGAGAAACATTTACAATTTTAAAGATTTCGGTAGTGAAAGCAATAGTATGTTTCATGCCGGCACGAGATGGACATCTTTAACATCGTTGTTTGCATAAACCATTTCAATAGGGTTCTTATGTGATGTTTTCAAGCTACTTACGAAATGACTCCTGGTTTGAAACCTTTCACTGTTTTAACCTAGTGAGTTTATATTGTCTTGCAATTCGACTTTTGAACGAGGTTTTTTAATGTATTGTTCTCTCCAGGTAGGTGCAACATTCAAAGGTTGCTTTTCCGGGTGTGAAGTTTAGCAGAACTTTTTTATTGTACTTGTCATTTCCCCCTCTTTGAAGAACGGTTCCGGTTGGGGTCGATCGATGTTAAGAGAGGGGTTTCACTTGTGTTTCAAGGCCACCAATAGCCCTGGAAGATGACAACAGCACTTCTTAGTAGAGCTGGTTAGTTTCCGTTTTTGAGCAACTGCTCCGAGGGCGGAAATAGATATCTAGTACTTTTGATATTCGATGCCTCACTTTGTTTAATTGTCGCTTTTTTCTCTCAAGGCCACCAAGAGAAAAACGCTAGAAGAAGACAAGAAGCATCACGACACACTGATGGGATCCATTTCAGTAGCCGCATCTTTCAAAGGCTTTCTAAAACAGGTAAGTTTTTCATGATTCCTCCACTCCGTTATCAATATGAGCGTTCGCGTGGTTTTTGCGTGCACTTGTCGGAGCATTTGTCATGGAAAATGAAGGCTTTAAGTGCCCTAAGAGATGTTTATCACTGTGTCACAGAATGTTCACGAAGAAATTGCAGCATTTGATATTCATATTTAAAGCCGCTTTCTTGTTTTATTTTGTTTTGTTTGTTTGTTATGTTTTCAGCAACTTTTCTTCAAAATGTTTCATGAACATGCTTTCCATAGACACTGGTCTTTTGTTGTGGTTAACCTTTTTTTTTTGCTAAACATTTTAGTCAAAACAATTTTTCGAGTGTGTCGCCCGTCAGGCGAAGTTAATGGCAACATCATTTGTCTTCACCCCCTTTATTTATCAAGGTATTATTAATGCGTGGACGATGTCATAATTGTGGCTAACAAATGATCTTAATAAAACTCACCTCCTGCAGCCATTATGGAGACATGTTACTGAAACTGAGTTCTAACTTTTAAATTGCATTGGTACATGAAATTTGACGGTGCGACCATTCAAATGAAACCTCTGATAATACTTTTACGTGGCATTATCTATTATGTATGCTGTAAAGACATGCTCCAACTTTTGAGTTTATGAACAAAATCCTGTGGTATGACCATTAACAGCAGATTCGCGTAATAGCATTTGATTTTTACCGTTTGTCAAAAATATGATTTATCTTTTTTCATCTGTCCTTCTCTGTGAATAAGAGGATTAAATAAAAAAGATTCGTGAACAAAAGTCAGAAATTGTTTGTGCCCTGATTCGTTGAAAATGTTAGAAATACGAATGTGTATACAACAAATTCTTGAAAGAAGCAAACAATCATTTAAATGTGTACTTGTAGAAATTTATTTCACATGTGTATTACATTAGAAGTAGTAAAGAAGAGCTACTGTATTTTTCTTCACTTTTTTTTCTGTTCTCTCTAACAGCCGATTCACGTAATAGCGTTTGATTTTTTACCGTTTTTCGTGTTACAGTTTTCCATTAATGAAGCCTGACCAGGTATTAATTTGACTCAGCTTGCAATTACGTAAAGGCTCCATCCAGCTAGTCTAACAAGTCTGACTTCTTAAAAGGAAATCCTTAATAATTACAAGCATTGGGGTGAAATTAATTTTGACACCCTTACCGGAAAATAAAGGTTACGGCTTACGAACTTTCATTGAATAACAGAGAAGGAAGAAGGCTAAGAAGGACGTGTATCACAAGACGGTTGTCATCTTCAATGCGATTACTAAGCGTTTAATCCAGTTAGTTAATCGAACGCTAGATTTTGATTGTTAGTTTTTGATCACCGAACCAGAATTCAAATGCTTTACCTTTGATTCTCAATTCAAGCTGATTTCCATACTGTACAACGCTACCGCGCGTTATGTTCGCGATTTTTAAAGCTTACTACACAAATTGGTTTGTGTAGTAATAATAATCCGAGAATAAATAATGAAAATAAAAAATGAAACCTACACTCGCAAGCCGGTCAGTGTAGGTTTATGTTACAGACTATACGAGTCATTTCGTTATACTCAGCCATATGATAAAGCTTTGCCTTTTCCATTACACTCAATGAGCTACCGCAGGAGTCTGTTGCGGTTTTTTTAATCTCAATCTCAGTGTTGTTACTTAAACAAACTTTTGTGTCTGTGTGACATTTATTAACTTCACGTCGCCTACCCCCATATTAAATAAACGCAGTTGGCTATTTTCTTTTTGTGCATAAAGCGTTATTTACTAAAACCGACAGCTGACAGTTTTTTAAAAATGAAACCTTTAAGCTCTAAGAGTCATCTGCATGAAATTTCTCCTTGTAATATCAATACTTTATAAAACAGGGTGGTCATGAGAATTGATGTCATGATCACAGAAGATGAATCTAATTGATACTTCAACAAATTCTCCCCAATACATCTGTTGAGAACGTGCAGGGACAACATATGAGAATTTAAGTTTTTGATATTAGGGTCGAAAGGGTTGAGTGTTTTATTTGGCATGCAGCTGCAGGAAACACTGTGCGCGATAATTAATATATCTGATTCTTTTTCTTACGAAAAACTGTTAGTTTTGCTACACAGTTCCTTTCGGCAATGTCAATATAACATTTAGTTTTGTTTGTTGGATTTTACAGCATCTTTGGATAAGCTTGTCTATTCAGCGAAGCATTATGTTTTTATTCAAATAAGACAACGTGTCAAAAACATCTTTAAAAGTTTTTCCCTGGGGGCATTCAGTGGGATGAATTTATACATTTTCCTTTTAATTTTTAAAGAAGAGAACATTTTCTTTTTTTCCTAAGAAAAAAAGAGGATTTTATTTTCAATCGTAATTTTTCTGATGGCATTTTCTGAGTCCTTAATTTGACGTACCGTTTCCGTGGTTAACAAAAGGTAAGTTTTGATCTTGAGGCAAAATTCGTCCTGGATGCTCTACTTTCGGATAATTTCTAAACCGTTTTTGTGATTGTTTCTTCAGCTTGTCACTCGATTTTTCTTTTCCAAAAACGAGGATAGTGTACACTTTGTACGTCAATTAGAATTATCTCAAATTCAGATCGCTTTGCGGTCTTGACCAGACGATCTGCCATGTTCTTCTCAACCGGTCTTGCATGAGATTTTTTTATCACCTCATATTATTATATTATTTCAAAAAATAAGTTTAGTTAACAAAGAAATTGCAAGTATATGCGTATTGGATAATACTAATTCTCTTTCATTTAGTTGCTCTGAAGTGATCGTAGGATAAAAATTTATGTTATTGATAACCAGAAATTTAATAAACAAATGTACTCCCTAAATAAACATTATCCAGTTATGGTCACTGCTTTGTCTAATAGCAGTGTATCGCGTTTCTGCGTTTATTTCTCGGGGGCGGGGGCACTCTTTATTTGATCTTGAGGGGTATGTGCAGTGAACAGGATTTTGTGTCAGGGTCTTGAGTCTTTAACAGGGTATGCAATTCTACCATTTAGTGTTTTGAACAGGGTGAATCGGAAGAAGCCTTTGAAGGAGTATGAAGGCTGGCGATGAGCGGTCTTCCTTTGTGGTACCAACAATTTTTTACATAGAATTTCATTCCTTGTTGTTTCCATGATGTTAGTTTAAAAAATTACTTAATTCTGTGTAGAAAACGAAACATCAGGGTCTTAAAGTAAGGCTACCTAAGGTACAGAAGTGAGCAATTTTTGTCTTAAGAAGGATGAGACTTTGAAGGCCTCGGCGGCACATCTCTACCCAGACTTCACCCAGAGTGCCCCCCGGGGTTCATTTGCCTTTTTGCACAACTAGAAAGACTGATTTGCGGGGCTATCATTCCCTCATACGAATGTTGAATCGCTGATTTTATTTCTTTTGTCTTTGGTCATGAAGAGGAAGTTATTTCAGAGAGTAATTTGTGTCCCTTACTTTTAATATGTATCTGCTTTAATCCGGAGTTGAAATCGGCTCTTGCTTTGATTAAATGCCTGTTTTTCATTTAAGTGCAAACAAAGAATTTTTCGTATGAATTGATCTTGTTCGTGTCTTTTCTTGTAGACGACTAAGCCTGAAGAACGGAATCCCTTTGTAAAAGCTCAAAACAATCAGGAACACTCCACTAAAACTGATGGCAGGCCCGTTGAGAAGTTATCTTCAAACAGAACAGTTTTCAAATCCGAAAGAGAAGAGAAGGAAAAAGCTGCAGTGGTTGTGAATTCACGAGAGTTGAAATCCACTTCAAACAGCTCAGTAAGTCCTAATACGGAAAAGAAAACTCCTCTGCTTGACACGTTTGGCAGCGATAGCGACGAGAATAACAACACGAATGACGGAAGAAATCGCAAACGAGGTTATTCCCTAACAGAGGACCAGAAAGAACAACTTTTATCTCTTTTAGCAACAGCTAAACTGAACCAAAAATCACTGGTGTTGGAGAATAACGGAGATACAAGCGAAGAAGCGAATAGTCAGAAACGAAAGGGAACTGAAGAGCATCCCATCAAACCACCCTCTCCGTCAACGTATGCTTACCCACAGTACGCGCAAACAGAACCTCAGATGATGTTTAGTCCTATAACTCCAGCCGGTCGCTCTGCGTCCCCTAGTGTGCGCTCTGACTCCGGTGACAGCCAAATACCTGCTGTCCCTAATTTTGTTCCTATCGCTGTTCCTATTCCTAGTGTGACTCCTGTACCGATGCCCCCTTTTTGGTACATGCCCCAGGGAGGTATGATGCCGTACCCTCAATCAACAATGTCCCCAATGCATTTTGGACAGATGGATACATCTGTTCCTTCCAATATGTCCGTGTCAACAGACAGTGATGTGAGTGAGGTTTCGGACATAGACCTTCAGTCTAAAAATTCAAGTTACATTAGAGCGGCCAATTCAAGCTCATACTCAGACAAAGAGAGAGTGAGGCGTTCAAGTGGTAATAAGGAATCCAAGCTTCCCCGCCCTATATGGCAAACGCCTATTAGGAGGAGTAGGGCAACTCCGGTTGAACCACAAGCGAGTTGTAATTTTCGCCAAAGAAAGACACAGATTCCTGATGAATTCACTGAGCGCAACGAAGAGGTCAAACAAGTTCGCGCACGCACTCCGTCGCCTTCCTTCGGCAGAAAAAGGTCTCCCGTAGCCAAAACACCGGTTCGGTCTCACACACCTCCAGTTTACTGGACCAGAGATGGGGTAGATGTGTCAGCGAACAGGATTTCGAAAAGACAATCGACCGGTTCTTTCCCAGACTGGCGATCCTCGAGCTCCTCTAGTTCACCAGAGGTACGTCGCAGATCTGTCTCATCCCCATCCACACCCAGAACTGACAATCCTGTACAGAGACCAAGAAGCAGCAGTAGCCGACCATCCAGTCCAGCTGGATCACGATCGAATAGCCCTGTGTCTCTTCTCGTGTCAAAATTCGAGGAAATGTCTCAACAGAACTCAGACAACGCACCAAGGGTTCGTTCCGACTCCGTGTCGTCTATGATATCAAAATTTGGTCATTCTTCGCTGGTGCCAGAAGATCGAATTGTTAAAGGGCAGTTCAAGCCAAACACGTCTGCTCCTGTCCCCCAGTCAGTGTCGAAAACAGGTCCTTTCCGTCCAGCGACTCGTGACGCACCAACAGTCAATTGTTCTTCGCGTGAAAGAGGCCTTTCGTCGCATGAAAGGACCAGGGTAAGCGAGTCATCGGATGGACACAAATTGTCAGGTAACAAAAATTTAGCGGATCCACGAGACATGCATCGCAGTGGCTCAGATCCCGGATCCAGGGAAAGCAGAGGAGAAACACCACTCTCAAGAGAGAATCGGCGTCGACTGTCATCATCGCTTGGAAACATTCGCAAAGCATGCGAAACCAGTGATGAAAGATATCAGGATTCCAGAAAACGACTCCTGGAAACTGTAAGGAAATGGTCATCTCAAGAAAATATCATGCGAGACAATAGCTCCGATGATCTGAAAAAGGGAGTCCAAGAATGGTGTAAAACTGGACAGTCTCAAGTGGATGGATATTCTACTAAGAAAGAAATACAATATAAAGAAATTGGCACAAATACAAGGAACACGTCTGGGAACTCCTCTTCACGACTGGGACGTCCTCTAAGCAGTGAACTAAACACCGAGCTAATCATCAAGTCAAACATTTCATCAGATGGAGTATCAAAGCCTCTGTGGACCAAAGACGGAATGACACTAGATCATGGCAGAATCTCAAGTCTTGATTCGGAGCCAGTCCGTGAGAAAGGGTCTCCTAAGTCAAGACCGAAGGATATCTGCATTCCTCCAGAAAGAGATCCTTCGATGCAGTATTACGGAATCAAAAGTCCTAAAGACTTCATTTGGTCTCCGACTTCAGACACGCAGAAGTTTGAGATACCCGTTGACTTGGCAATTTTGGAGTCTGCAACACCCTCTGTTTCCAGCCCTCTAAGTTCTGCGTGTGGATTCGATGTCTCATACGGTAGATGGGACGGAGAAGTTCTTTCGCCTGCTGCCCCACTAAGCCCAGGATCACTAAAAGATTTTAAACCCTCCAATTACTTTACAAGTGTTACGTTTAAATGTGGGGAGATGGAACCGGAACGAGATACAAACAGCTCCCCTACAAGAGCGTCTCGTGGAACTGTTAACTTTGATTCTGTTTCTAATAGGAGAGATCCCAATCTCAACTATGTGAGACGATTGGAGAGGAAAATTCTTCGTAGCACTGGTGATATCGAGGAGGAAGTTTTTAGTTCTAATTCAGGTTCCAGCGGAGCTCAAAGTGGAACATCCAAAGATGAGGTTGCTGTCAGGAGTGCGCAACAACGTTCGTATTCCGAGACTGAAGGACCTAAGAAAGTGGTAAAAGGCAATCCAAATTCTACCATGAGCAAACATGTTAAGACTTCCAATCATTCTTCATCTCTAGGTTCTAACATCGTGTCTACAGGTGATTCAAAAAACCCAAGAACTCAAACCAGAAATGATTTGATCGTAAGATCAAGACATCCATCTGGCAATGGACCGCCTAAAAAAGGCAGTAACCCAACATCTACAAATACCTCATCATCTAGAGCTAATGAAGAAAAGACGTCGAATTCAAAACCCTGGATATCCACAAGACGAAGTTCTTTACCTTTTTCTCAAGCAATTAATCTTTCTCCCAATGGTGATGCTTCTGGGAATCCCAAAATCACAAAAAGTTCATCTCAAACCAACTTGTCACCGAACAACCCAAAGATGAATCATGTTCGGAAATCCTCTTCACAAGCCAATTTATCGACTGGTAAAGGTCCCTCATTAATTTCCTCAAGCAAGGAACCTGCTTTAAGTCAGGGAAGCGGTAGTGGACTTACAGTTTCCAATCATCCATACTCTAAAGGAACTGAGACCAAAAGTAAGAGTTCAACGACTCCAGGCAAGCCAAGCATTTCCCACCCATCCCACGATGCGCACGTTTCAAAGGAGCCTTCCAAAGAAAGGAACAGTGGCTCTTCCAGTGTGAACACTCGAACGGTCAAAACCAACGTAAACTCTGTCGCATCTAGAAATTCAGACTCCGGTGCCGTCAGATACCCTTACACTCGTAGAGGAAGCACGCCTTCAAAAGGTAATTCTACCATTAAACCACCCGCCCAGAAATCAGCCAGTAATCCTGCTTCACCGCTTGATCCAAAAGACAAAAATGTAACTTTTGAGTTTTTTAGACCATCAAACGCTAACTCCTCTTACAAATCTAATCGATTAGTAAGCTCTGTTAGCCCTAACAATGAACAGGCGAAACAAAAATCTAAACAAAAGGCAAAGCAGAAAACTCCGAGCAGAGAAGGCAGCAGTACTGGATCCTCTGGAGTTGAGAGTAGTCCGTTGACATCCCCCTCTGGAAGCTTTTCAAAGCCAAACACAAATTTTTTGTCCCCTTCAAGTGGTCAATCCCCTGAACGACAGGTTGGCCCTGAAGATTCTGGCATCTTTTACCTCCCTTCCTCAAGCGAAACTTTAGCTAAAGACAAGTCATCTTCATCCAAGGTCACTACGAAGCGATTTCCCAGCAATTCCTCGACTGATAGTGGGCTGAACATGTCAGACTATGAAGAAACTCGAAAAGGGACAGGAAGTCGAATTGTAAATAAAACCAATTATGTGTCGTCCCCTCCTACTTCTCCTACTTCCTTCTCTCCATTGCATTCACCGACATCTCCAAAGTTTCCTATAAGTTCAGGCTTTTTTTACTACCCAAAAGACGAACAAACTACTTCATCTCGAAAGTGCTCTGATGAGAATAAAGAACTAACAGCCTTGACAAATTTGTCTTCATCTTCAAAACAAGGCGACGTTTCAGTTCAAAGTAGAAAATCGTCGGCAAAGTCTAACGAATCTACAAACAAGACTTTACGAAATGATAGCGACAAAATGAAGAACGGTAAAGGCGGAGTATTTAAAACTCAGGATAAAATCACGCTAGATAAAAGTGAAAAACTTAACAGCCTTTCGGAAAAACCTAAAGACGAGACTGTAGTCCTAAAAGCAGCTGCACTCACGCAAATTGTGAGGTCCAGTTCTAAGGACAGGTCAGCTTCTTCGACACCTCCCCCTGACATTTTAGGAAGACCTTCCTGCAAGAGTCCTTCACCTTCGTCCCGAGTTGATTCCAAGGAATTGCTTGGCCAGCTAGTAAAGAAGGTTCTCAATTCCGCCGCGGCTAAGCAAAGTTCATCTCCAAAAGCGTCCTTCGCTGAGTCGACGTCCTCTTCGCCGAGGACTAGTGACAAGGAAAAGCGTGCAGCAGAGGCTAAATTGTTCTTTTTGCCTGAAGAGACTCTTGATGGGGAAGTAAAAGAAAAAACAAATCAACAAGGGAAGAGTCAGAAGAGCGAAAGATCGAGGAGTGAACAAAAGACGGTAAATGTTGATAACACTTCCAAGAAAAAGGAGCAAATACTGAAAGTGTCGCAGCATCCTGCCCCTACAGGAAACGGAGAAAATGCCAGTGTTCAATCACAGCCTGTAGTCTTGAATGAAGGGGAAATAACCCCCAACAGCGCCTCTAAGGTTGAGGTAAGCCAGGTAATTGTTCAGACTTTCATTCCACATTATTTTGATTCGTTTACACTCCAACCTCATTAATGTGCATTTCAGAGGTGTCCATATTATGGAAACAGGAGTTGTTTGCAGGTGCCCCTTAGGAGAGTTTTGACTGAGTTTCTTTTTTTCCTATTGACGATATATTTGGCGCATAGTAAGTTAAGATATTACAGAGTTAATTTTGCTTCGTAATGATTAGGATTGCCACCAACTTTGTTATGTTCGTGTAGGTCATCTTTCCTGACGGATATTGGTCAACTTTGTCCAGGTGGCCCCTGTTACAGTAGTTACACTGTAAAGAAATTCAGTTACTGATTATATTTTTAATCGAGTGATAATTGTTCTAAATCCATTCAAATTTGAAGCAGTAGCTTTTCTGTCTGGTTAACAGGAGCAGTTAAGCTCATCAGAGGGGAAGGATGCTCTTTCCAAGATTATCGATATGATACATGACGAGTTTGCGTTTGACGGTTACTTGGATGATGGAGTGGAAGACGTCAATATGGGTGAGAACTGCCTCTCTTTCCTTTTTCAAATATCACACTACTTAAGGTTATTCCAGGCCTCAGCGTTTCCCCGCGAAATGACGCCTGAGGAACGGTGACGTGTACTGATCAGATGACGTGTCACTTTCCACATCTGGATACTTCTTCTCATTGGTCGTGTAACAAGGGAGCTCTGCTTTAACCGTTCAGCAGTTAAACCCAGATCTAGGAAGTGACACGTTCGTTTATCAGACGTCATTGCGCGGGGAAACCAGTGCGAGTGGAGTCACGAAATGTCGCGGGCTGTTTTCTCATGTTTGGTTATTTCTTATTAGTACAGATTGCATTTCTTATCTTCATTCTCACCTAAAAGAGTGTGGCGGAGTAGCAACTTTCTTTCCCTAGAAAAGACATAGACTGATTCCCAGTGCAGAAAAAGAAACAAACGTCGGAAAATTAACGTATTCAAAGCAAGTGCTCGTAAATATATCCGTGTTTGCGATACATATGTTGCTCGTCCCATAAGAAGTTCGTGGTCGTCGGTCGGGTCTGAAAATATTTTCAACGTTTTTTCTCCTTTAAATTGCATGGGAGAAATCTTAAAACATCGAATCTAGGCTTATCCTTTTAGTGTTCTTTTAGTGATAAAATAACTGCCCTTTATTTTGTCATGAAGCGAAGGTCATACTGTGTGGCGCTAACTTTTTGCGGGTTCTAAAATTGAGGTTGAGGTTGTTTTGCACGATCCGCAAAAAATGTTCCTGCTAAAATATTCTCAACAATCTGCAATAATGTACTCAACTCAAATAGAATACTGGTTTGAAAAGGAAATTGTCAAAGATATTCCGGGGAGTCATGGCGTATCAAGTGGTGGAACGGTTATTGATCAATTGCCGAAGCAATTAAAAACGACCATGCTATGACTTGTATTTCGAATTAATGTTGTTTGATCAAAACACGAAAGTGTTGTAACCCTAACTGAACCCGACGTCCCTAAAGTTGCAAATAATAACTAATTTATTTTTTGTTATTGAAAAACGTTTTCTTGCCGCTTTCATTCGCGTAGTTGACCTGCTTACAGCGACGCGAGCGACTCCGCAAACACCAAAATCCATACCGCCAAAAAATCTCTGCTCGTAGAGTAGGTACGACAGCGAGAAAACAACCTGTCTATTTTTCCAATCACAGAAATAAGTTCCCTCAAAATACAAAAAATCGGCGATGCACAAAATTGAACCACAGCAAAAATTTTCTGCCACACGATAGTGTTGTTCCTCTGTAGTTGCCTCCCCGCTTTGTTAAAAAATCGTTTGGGATAATCACGTTATTGCACTCGTTCCCAGTTTATTTGCGTCATGATGAAGTACACTAAAATAAAACGAACAAGTTTTGCCTTCACAAGGAGGACCTAACCAGGACAAGACTTAGCAGGTTTCTTCATTCACGTGAGCAGATTTTTAGATTGAAAAGTTGTCCTCTGTCGACGAAAACTACCTTGTGTAATGCTTCCTAAATCTGTAGCGAATTGCTCAAAGAAAAACCAATAGTTCTCATGAAATGTGCGAACCGCTTTTATTGAGCAATTTTCTTATTATCTTATTTGCTCTTCGCATTATGTATGCCACACACCTAGGTGCAGTAAAATTTCTTGAAAACCTCTCAGAGCGTGTTAAAAAAAAAAAAATCACCTTTCCTTACTTTATGCGCTTTTAAATCCGGAACTTGTTTTTATGCGTAGAACGTGCGTTTTTATTTAGAACCTTTTTGACAAAAGAGTGTTTCAAGCCTCATTCTTAATTAGTCCTCCTAAAATCGCTTACAATAAAAGAAAGCAATTAAAGACAATTCGACATACATGCATTCAATGAACTCGAGATTAATTTGTGTGCGCCCTCGTACACCTTTTCCTCTTAAATTGTTCGCCAAGAAAATTGCGGGAAAGAAAACGTCACGGCTCGGCATTTTCTATGTTTGCGCAACGGATGGTTCTTGAATATGACCGGTAGAGAACTTTTATAAGTCCTGAAAAACATGTCAACCTAACGATGAAAACGTCCTAAAAGGTGCACTTTTGTTCTCTATTCCATCTTAATTGGTAATGGCTGGTCGTACGGAATAACTTTCATGTTTTTACTGCTTATTTAATGCCGACTAGTGGTGCTGAATATCTTTTATGATTTTATTAGCTTAGTTAATGCTAAGTCGTTCATCTTCAATTTTCCCTCTTACAAAATCATCGTGTTTCGAGAAACTCTCACAAGGTAAAAAAAAGATCATAAAAAGTTTAAAAAAAAACAACGACAACAATCAGCCAGCATTTTTAGAGAATGTTATCCCAGGAGACATACACCGAATTGCGCTTTCACAAAGGACATAACAGTGTTTGACGTAAGTAAATTGGTACTAAGATCACAATTAAACTATTGAGTAAACTTAAACAATATTGGCAATTGGATTTCTTTGTGTTTTTCTTTGAGAGATGGAGACGCGAATGTTGTTTGACACTATAGTTGTAAAATATCGAGATTGCATGCATTGAATAGTCTTGATAAGTCAGTCCACTGTGAAAGTGCCCGTTGGTCGAAGTGAACATGTCGTGGCCTAATATTTCTGCGTAACTCAGGCTAACATTGGATTTACATTGTAAATTGTATTGCGGACATCGGAAGGGCAAGCTTCAACAATTGAAAAAAAAAACGTGCTCAACTTTGGATTTGAAATGGGAGCCCGCACCATCGATACAGATGAGCTGGGTTAGTATACATAGGACCAGTCAACATTCATGTTCAGGTATCGCACTGTCTGCGATAGGTCGGAAAAGGGCTCAAGGTTTAATTATCTGGTCATACGCGAAATTCGCGGTGAATACCACAACGATCGTTTCGATTATACGCGTTGATGTTCGCTCACGGCATGGTCTTTCAAATTATATTCTTATAAGATTTAAAACTTGAAAAACTTAAGTTTTGTAAATTTGTTCGCAGAGCGATGGAAGAGTTTTTGTCCACGGCAGAATCGTTCAAAAAAATCCGTGCCATATTAATAATTGGCGTCTCACAACAGTCAATTATTCGTTCAAGCAGAAATTAAGCTTACTAAGCCTAAGGTGAAACCTTGCTATATATTTGTCGTAAAAATTGTACCTGAATTGATAACATTTAAGTATTGTGTGTGTGTTTTCTTATTCTCTAGCTGAATATGTGATGTCACTGTCTGGTATGAGTGAGGATAATTTTAAAGAGGCGGTCACAGATCAGTATAGCGACTTATACTGGGACGAAGATCTTCTTCACGAAATGTACGAAGTGGTTACGGGCGGACAGAAAATTCGGAGGTGAGTTCCTTTTAAACACACTAACTCAGTGTTAAGTCTTGCATTGAGCTCGGCTAACAAACAATACAGTCACTTGTCTGACCCTCGAACCCATCTAATGTACAAACTTTACGAATCACTGCCGATTGGTTTGAAATATTAGGCAAATAAATGGCAAAGAGGGCTCTTTTAGACAAAAGTCATACGAGTTTGTTTAATTTTTGGTCGTACGCGCGCCGTAGTTTGTAATCGTACTCCCGCTGACGGAACTCTTTAAATTATTAAAACAAGCCGCTGTCTGTCCTAAACAGTGCTGAAATTGAGTGACCGTTTTCCGAAAGTCCTCCTTAATACCGAGCCCAGAAAGCTGCTTTTGCATTCAATGAATCGAGTTTTCAGTAGTTTTTGAAAGTAATGTATTATAATTGAGAGTATCATTTAACATGCAGAACAACACTTAAACAAGACTTTAATAAACTAATTGGGATGTAGGAGCAGCACTACCATTCTTTAGATTATTGATTGACAATAAGGCTTTGGGGCCGTAGAGTGAAAGGTACTTTTTAGAAAGGGATTCCATTGGTCCAACATACATCTCACGTAAATTTCAATTTATTGCCTGCAATATTTTACAGAGGGCGAAGAGGAGCAAAGCTTTCCCTCGCCTTTCATCACGCATATCTCCGCTGCTTCTTACGCTTCTGGAAACACAAGAAAACTATCGTCTCATTTAACACCCCGTTTATAGGGGTCCGAACAAATTTTTGAACGGACAAAAACTTGCACGGATCCGCCTTTCGTCTACGGGACCCGCGGAACCTTGCAAGTTTTTTACCTCAGGGTCAGAAGTAGGTCAAAATTTTGACCGGTACGGTTCCGCTTTTACGCGCACTCCTGTAAACACCTAAACCATGCACGTTTTTGGACAGTTTGCGCGGAGGTAAAGGCCTGGAGCCTAGTTATAACGCGCCTTTGATAAAAACGCCATTCCATTACTGACACTGGCAAAAATTTGTACGGACTGGTGTTAACAATACTGTAACAGAAATTGAACAGTGAGTTATTGCACAGGCCAAAAAATTCTTCCGTTCACTAAAAGCCGAACATAATACATTGAATTAGGTTCATGAAAAGTTCGGCGTCTGAATCAATTAGGAACGCCTGTTTCAATTTGGAACGGCGCAGCCGTTCTTCCCATCCAGCCCTGTCGGGAATTTCGACTTTGGATCGACTTTGGACGGCTTTGATTCAGACGCCGAACTTTTCTTGTACCGAACCTAATGCATAAATTATTATAACGTATTTTGTAAGCAGATTGACCGAAATGAGCATTTTCCTCCTTATTAATTTAGTTCGGCTGGAATAATAAGATCGGCGTCTGAAACAATTCTGTCGGTCTAAATAATCTGGGTTGGCCTTAATTTGAATTAGGTTCGGCTCATAGAAGTTCGGCGTCTGAGCCGGGCCTAAATTTACTGTTGCGGACGTGATCGCATGGACCTTTTTAAGTGACAAAATATACATTATAACTTTTCCTTCTCTTCTTTTCAGAACAACCTTGCAGTTCTCTGAGAGCACCATCAGTGACAATAGCCCTCCGGAATCTGTTAATTTGTCACGCGAGGAATCGTACCTCAGTTTAGAACCTTTATATTTCAACTCGATCTCCCGAAGCAGCAGTGAAAGGAGCGGGACTGGAATGCGGGACGTGCTGGTGTCACCGTGCTCGTTTTTGTCACCGCTTCATGAGTTACTTACGCCGATTTTTGAAGATTATCATAGAGTTTTTCGCCGTTCGATTAAAAGTTTATTTTTGCACCGGAAATGGTAACAGACATTCATTTTCACTTTTACCGTTCGATTGTTAAAAAGGATTTGAAAAATACGCCGATTTTTTTCACACACTCCTAGAAGATTATCATCACCAACTCGTGCGAAAATCCCGTGTTATGGTTTTCAAATCCTGGTCGACGAACGGTCGAAATGAGAATGATATCTAAAAATCCGTGGAGCCATGATGTAAAATATAAATCGAATCGAACGCACCCGCCAAAGGACATATAACCAAAAAGATATGTTCTCTATAACGAGGTTTTGTTATAAATCGAGGTTCTTTACCTTATCTGGATGAAGAATAGAGAAATTAAGATTCACGTTTACCGCAAACGGCAAGCGTCAGACTCAAGTTGAGAATTTCTCAGAATAGAAAATAAGCAGATAAAAACAGTACCGAACGATTCCTATGATTAAAACTGGCATAATACTACTTATTTTTGTGTAGAACCAATAAAGAGTAAACAGAAAATAAGGGGGAAACTTGGTCGCGTGGTACAAATTTACATCTGCCGTTTGGCGTAACCGTGAATCTTAATCTCTCTAATATCGTTTGTTGAACCGAGAACTTCGTTATATTGAGGTTCCACTGTACAATCGTTTACCCTATATTCTTGCTTGAGTTTTTTCCCATGTTAAGACAAAAACGCCTAATTCGATAATAAAATTGCCAATTACTTTTCGTAATAGGAGTACCTGTTTAAAGTTTTCTGAACGCATGAAAATTAACATTGCGTTTGATTTCTAGCTACAGTTTGTTATTTCTTTTCTTTTTTGATTACCTTGCGTAATCACATGACGAAATGTCCAACGTGAATAACACAACAATGAAACTTTGATTTTTTTTCTCACCGTAGGGAATCAAACTGGCATCGACTGTGGAAGATTTGTCGGATAAATTAGGAACTAAGATTATGGTAAGATGTTTATAACGTGGTCCTTTTCACGGCTGGTGAAAGACATTTTGCAACGTTTATTGAGCAAAAGAATCCTTTATATCCAACATTAAATGCAAACTCCTCTAAGTTCTCTATCTCTCTTGGCATTAAAATAAATATAAATTATGTTAGAAGAAATGAAAACAAATAAGCACGAAGATCATTGATTAAATGAAGTATTTCATTGAATATCTGTGGAACATTACCGAAACACGATAAATGCCTTCTTGGTAATGTTCGCTAGTAACTCATTAGTGACCAACATCAATTTTCTCCTAACAATATCCAAATGTTACCAAGAGAAATGGTTAGGAGAGTTAATAAAATGGTCACTAAAGCGAAAATGCTCTGATCTGTTAACAAATTCTCTCAACTAATTCTTTAAAGAAATGTGTATGTAGATCAGTTTGGAGAATTTATATATGGATATTGGGGCTTAACGGGATACGGCTGGAACTAAGCTTCTATAAATCACAAACAGAAAAACGATTTTTCTCGACCTGTTTGCGGGCGACCAGAGGAGCCCTGTAATCCTAATCTCCAGGTTGCTATTACGCATGCTTGGCACATATGTAGCCAGCTTAGTTTGGAATTCCATTAAGAATGAATGGAAGGCACAAAACGCCGAAGCAAATGCAATATGATCACGCGTGTTTCGACCATCCATCACGTGAAACTTACGCAAAGCACAGCGTTTGAGCAGGAGCGTTTTGAGCTTCCATCGTTGTTGCCTACACTCTGTAACCTTTGGTTATTACTAGTATTATGCCATTCATTAAGACGTCATATCTAACTTGGCGTTTATTGCTTTTCTTAGGAAATCTCTCAACAGCTGATGTTGGAACGAAGAGCCAAGAAAAAAAGTATGAATTCCTACAATAAAATGGCTGATGTTGATAATAAGAAAGGTAAAGATTTTCTTTCCATGCATTTCTTCTCATTAATCCAAGTTACAGACGATAACATGTAAACGTGCAGCGATACGAATGTCTCCGATAATCTTCGGGAAATTTCCAAGGCTTTTCTGAGACTTAAATGGAGTCCGTAGCTTTCCTGAGTAAGATAGAGGTCTTTTACAATGACGGACCAACGAACCTCTACACCACCTTCTTAAACACCCCATGAACCGTCGAAAACGAAATTTTGAACGCATCTTAACTCTTTAACAGCGTTAGCTTGGGCTGAAAAATGTTTTCCTTTTCCACCCGTGCCATTCCCGGAAGTGCACAAAACCGGAAGCAATGAAACACTTATCTTTTTATCTTAAAGATGTGAAAGATCTGGCGTCTAAATTAGTTAACGAGATAGAAGAGAGCGACAAGAAGATTGTTTACTTAAAACACGTGCAACGGCAATTACGGGTAGGTTAAACAAGGACTTTATAGCCTAACTGATTGTTTTGTAACTTCATTATCTATGGATGTTGATAATGTTTTGCTAGCGTACGTTATGTCTTCACTTTTTTTAATGTCTTTTTGTTTAGAATGTTTATGCCGAGCGCTTTGGGATGGATACGTCCCTGCTTTATGCGTTTGTCGTGAGGTAAGAATAAACGAAATGATGTTTGAATTTAAACCAAAAAGCTTTGTCACGTGGCTTGGAGTTAGGACGTCTAGTTTATGTACTGTCCTCGGAATGCCGTATACGGCACTACTAGAACAAGAAATGCTCTTCTTCAATTTCAAGAGTGTTCAAAAACACTTGAACTAATTCATAAAGAAATACGAAGAAAACTTATGTGTCTCTAAATCTGATAAAACACGGCGGAGTTTTTAGCTTTAGTTTTTTGTGGGAAAATGATCCGAAAACCACGGATTACCGTACATTGCCGTTTATAAGCCCTGGGCTTATACTTCTTCGTAAGGCATTTTAGAAAGGTTTATGAACGGAGGAGCTTAAATCTGAGGGCGCTTATGATCAGAATAGAGGGTTTAAGCTTCACGTATACGGCAAACGTCAGATTCAAGTTGAGAATTTCTCAACAAAGAAAATGAGCAGATAAAAACAGCTCAGAAAATTCATATGGATAAAAAATTGCGTAAAACTACTTATTCATGTATAGAAATGATGAATACTAGGCGACAAGCCAAGGGGAAACTTAGTCACGTGGTAAGCTTTTCTAAATTATAACACAGGATATTCCGAGAGGTTTTTGCTAGAAGTAGAAACAAAATCGCTTTCAAGAGCACTCGCGATGGCGTGTGCTGTCCAATTACTTAGGTATGACGCGTACTGTCCTATTACACCGTACCATTATTTCTGAAATTAGGACATTTGATAGCCAATCTGATTTGAGAATTTTTTATCGTTATAATTAAACATGGAATAGACAACCGTATAATATTCGCTTAAGATTTTTCTGCCCTGGAGACGAATTTGTTAGTCGAAAACTTTCGCTTTCATTTTTTCTTTTGAAAGTAGACATTATTTTAACCGCAGCAGTTTTATAAGCTACAGGCGCCGGTGTACTTAAAGCCCTGCCAAAAAATGTTTGAAACGAAAAGTATTTTTAAATAATTAACTATTTTTCTATTTCTTTGCAGCTACAACAAATCATGTGTCACGCTAGACCCGGAGTTCAACAACTCCTTGTTAAATTTCTCTCCAATATGGAATCAACGGGCGAATGAAAGCGCTGATATCGTCGATGAGTCTTTCATCGGCCCCTCACTTCAATCAGGATCGAAACTCGGATTATTCTCCTATCTGTTTGACAGGTGCATAAATTTGACTTTTACTTTTGCGTCTAACCAGGAGCCCATAACCATGAGGGAGCAAATCCCCTGTGTTAGTGTTAGTGAGTTTTCACGAACCGATTTATTTTTAGTTCAGTAGTTGGACACGTGATCAACTTTCTGTTTACAGGAGAACAGGTCGCTTTTGGAAAATTCTGTTAGCAGGAACTGACAAAGCGTATTAAGATTAGGTAACCTGTAAATTTTCAGCCATATATCTCCATATTAGGGATTGCATCAGCCGCCGAAAATTAAAAGGATTTGCATGGGAAAAACAACTTTTGACAACACTTCACACTTAAAACTAACACTTCCAAATTCCAATTCGATCTGGAACGCACGGACACGTTTAAACGAGTTCATATGAACTCTTAAGTGCTTCGTGGGTAAACAAGCAATTTACTTTTTTTTTTGGCCACCCAGTCACGCTTGAGTGGTTTTCCATACAAATCCTTGTAGGAAGTTAGAAATTTTCAAACTGATTAAAAGATTTTCTTAAGCATACCGTGGAACAAAGTTTCTTTTTTCGTAACAGACAATTTGAGGCCTTAAATGCGTAAGGGAAAGATTTAACGACAGTTTGAAAATTTACTATGCTCTTTCAGTTCTGGCAAGCAAAATTTTCCAAAAGCAACCTGTTTTCGTTTTTGAAGATAATTGATCACGTGATCAACCACTGCAAAAGGCCTATTCAGACCAATTACAGGCGTCAATACTTAATCATTAATGCCATCAAAACGAAACCAAAATGGTGGACAGAAGTGTGGTCGAACCATCTGATTCCTCCGATAATTGAAGTGCCGTTTCGAGCAAAGATTTTGAAAGCTTTATTAGCTCATAAGACAATGTAAAAGACGATGAGGCGGAAATCGAACAAGGTAGTGTGGTTCCTCTCCCTTCGTTTCGTAAAAGGAAAAAACAGGCGTCGCCCTTTATCTCCAGCTACACCATTCAAGACAAAAGACGTATTCTCACCCAAGAAGAAAGACTTATTTTATAATGACATCAAAGGTATCAACAACAGTGCTGTCGTTTAACTTATGAGGTCTAATTTATGATATAATGACACTTTTTTTAGTCAATTTAGCATTCATATATATTTATCTTTTACAATTTGTTCATGAGAATAGTGCCTTTAGGGCACATGCAAATTGAAATTACACTAGTCCCTTTGGTTATAAAACCTTTGGTTAATTTTCTGGGTCAGAGTATAAACATTAGCTGCTTAACCTTGTGAAAATCATTCCAGTCGATAAGAAAGTGGATGATTCAACTACTTTTGTCATCACTTTTGTCCGATTTTCTTCTCATTTCAGACACGCAATGAGCCAGGCCTACGTGCGTTATTTTTTGTGCACATACCGTTACATTGCAACAGCGCAAGAGCTGTTCTCCTTCATCAGAGAAAAATGTTCGGCTTCTCTCAGGTGAGCTTGTTAAAAGTAGAGTTTGAATCAATCGAGGATTTGGGATGTCTATGGTTGTTTACCATTTACAAAAAGTTACGGAAAATCTAGTTGGAAGTATGTGGAACATGACTTTTTGAGTCTTTCCGGCGGAAAATTTCTGGGAGTAACGGAACATCTGAAAAAGCAGTCCTGTTTTTCCGGATGGAATGCTCCAAACGGAAATTCGTATTCCATTTCTTCAAATTTCCATTTCCTCTTCGTATTCCATTTCTGATACAATATTAAGGCCTTCGTGGTCGTTTTTCGGTAATTGGATCTTATTTGAACAAATGTTAAACGCAAGGAACAGTGCAAGAAAGGAGAAGAAGAGGCCGACAAAAGAAGCGTTGGGAGAATAACATCTCTGAGTGGACAGGGTTGAAGTTTTGCGACACCCTAAGAAAATCTGAAAACAAAATGCTAATCAAATGGAGGGAAAGGGTTGCGAGGTCCGTGGCGCCCCAACGGTCACCATGACTAAGTGATAGGTGCAGGTACAGGTACAGGTGCAGGTGCAAACGCGATTCCGGGACGAAATTTACCAGTCCTGAATTTTGCTTTCCCTTTACCCAAACCGTGACCCGACCGGTTTGCACTGTATGTAAATGGTAAACAACCTATGGGTCCGAACCCCCCTTTCTTAACGAAGCGGCCAGCTTAACGTCATCCAAACTCTGAGATAAGGGTGGGCTTGGTCTCAAATAATTTTTTTTTGGATCTTCGGGCCTCAGTTTGGTCTAAAAATAGGGGGAGAGGGAGGGTCGGCCTCTCCTGGATCCGGCACTGGACAATATTAAGGAAACCTATTAAACAATCATTTTCCATAAAAAAAAAGTTGCCTATATCAGCCATCATGGACGTACGTCCCTCTTGTGAACTACCTGAAAGGTAGTGGAGGCATCGATCCGAACTGCCTGGGTTGTAATTTCAATTTTCCCCCAAAAATAAAACCAGCAAAAAAATGCGAAGAAAAAGTTGCAGTTTGATTCAGTTGATACCCATTCCACAACACAGTCATTAGCTTTCCTAGTTTTTGCAACATCAAGAAACAGCCGAAAAAGCCCCGGTTAAATTTTTTTTTAGTTATTTCGTAGTAACAAAAGCAACTGGTCGTTTAATAAAAACGACTAGGAATGATGTTTCGAGCTATGTCGAAAACAGCTTGCCGAATATGTCTGATCTTCCAACAATAGATCACAGGGTTAAGAGACGAATTGAGAAATATGAGCGTCATTGCGTAACACAACAAGTCTGACAATACGGTAGATTCAATATAGACCACGGAAGCAACATGGATACAGAAAAATGGCACGTAACAAATCAAAAACAAGATATATACGTAGAATGTTCCAACTGCCGTTTTTCTCTGCCTTGCCCTGTCTGTCAATTCTCCATTCTGTTCAGCTTGGATGCCTTGTTGTACTTGAATTTGATTTCTGTGTCGTCGTATGGTTGCATATATCTTGCAGTAAAGCAAGCTTGTAGTTATGACGAACAAAAGTTCAAGAATTGTATAAATGATGACACGAACTTTTTCTGTTATCAGTAATGATACGCAAACGAGTGCACTATACACCCAGATTAAGATTACTGCAATAATAACACGCTTGTGGGTCACAAGTTCCTGGTATCTGAGATGAAGATGAATTGCCAGGAATCTGTCGAGAGTTAAAGCGATAATGCTTAAGAAAGAGGCAGTGGAAAACAAATTCACCGCGATGAAGAACGAAGTATTCCAAATATTGTTAAGAGCACTCTTGCATGTGTGCGATGTCACCACTTTGTAATCTGCGCACTGTGCCAGAACTGTAACATACAGAGGTTGGACAAGTAAACCAACTCCCAGATCTGAAAAAGTCATACTCAGGAGTAATGTTTTTAAGGGTTTTAGCAACGGCGACGTTTTTCGTAGCGCTTGTAGCGTTATGATGTTCAACGCGGTGGCGGTGAAAGACAAAAAGGCGTTGAGTATACAGTTAACGACAAAGGTTGAATTCAAGTCTTTAGTTTCCTTCATCCTGAGATCTGCGTTAGAACTCTGCGTGCCTTTTCATGTCTACATTTTTTTTTCTCAAAACTAGCTCATCATTGTTCAAAAGTTCGTAATCATGTCTCAGATTCCTCTTGCTGGCACTGTGCCAGATGATCTTCTCTTCTTCCGTTTTTTTCTGGTAACATTCGAAAAGATTTTTGGAACTGTTCGTATGATCTGTCGCACAATATCTCTTCCTTTTTGGATACTAATGACGAATTGTTGTTCAAAGCCTTAGCTAGTCTAATGGATATAGGTGAAGTTGAAAACAAAGAGCTGATACTATGACGATCGCTCGGAGAAAAGAAACTCGGCGTTTGACCTCTGTAGGAAGATACCAGTGCCCTTGTTCCACGACCTCAGTAAAAAATTATGCGGTTACCAATCCATTTTGTCAATAAATAGGTGGATTAAGAGAAAAGAGCAAGTAGGAGAAAGCATGCTTAAAACCGTACCTTTCCAATTAATTTGGTGTGTGTTGAGAAAACCCTGATGATCATTGATCAATATTCTTCGTAAAACTGATTTTTAATTACAAACACGTAGCGAATGTGCGCCAAATGAAAAAAGTTCTCGTTACAATATTATACCTCAGTAGACAATAGCTTTAAGTATTTTCCTCACTGTTTAATGCTTTTCAAGTACTAGGTAAATGCATTTAACATTTGATGTTCTTAGCATCCTGTAGACGCAAATACCCATTAGAATACTCATTCTCGTTAACTGACGAGTTTATAAAATTTTTCATTTCTTCTCCGGAGAAGCAAAGACCCTCGTTCACGAGTGATGATCATGAATAGCTCCCAAATAGTTTCGCGATTTATATTAGAAAAAAGCGAGAATTTACCGATCCGTACCCTAAAACTGAAATTTCTAGTTTGCTTCGTTAAATATTCACTTATTTCTAGTAACACAGGTAAAAAAAAAACCGAACAGATGTACACCATACGTCTTTTGAAGCCATTCAGGAGACTTCGCGTTTGGTTATTGTCTTGTAAGCAGATGCAAAAGAGCAGTACTGGGGACAACAATTTTGTCAAATGGAAGGGAATCCCACGTTTGAGAGGATATACCTTGTACTACTTTTTAGAACTCTTTTGCTTATTTATGATCGAATTGTTTTTCATCGAAAAGTAATTTTGACGACGATTTCTCGGCTAAAATAGAAGTCAACGAATGAAAAAAAAAAAAACAAACATGGCAGCCGCGAGCTATCACCCGCGAACCTTAAGTCCCAAATATGGGCAGATGGCGAACATGAAACCGCTAACGGCAAACCCCCGTTTTGCCGTAAGGTCTCTTTTGTCTCCATAGAAACGATGTAGCTTTAGCGTTACCTTTTGCCTTTATTACGGTAACTTCGGAGATAAGATTTGACTTAACTGCTCAATTATTCCTCAAGCCCTGTGGGCTCTGAGTCAATAGCCCATGAGGCCGAAGGCCGAATGATCTATTGACTGAGAGGCCACGAGGGTGAGAGGAATAATTGTTTTAGTAAAATCCAACTAGTTGGTCAAAAATATCGAGACAAAACAACTTTAGCTAGCAAAACACGATTCAGCCGCCATTGTTTTGGTTTTCAAAGCCGGCGCCTTTTCGCTACTAATAGGCTATGACATATAGCTTAGTTTTAGCTCAACCAATCAAAACGCAGCACTGATAATAGACCACTAGTTGGATTTTACTAAACGGTATTTGTTCGATTAATCGCCGCGGCGTTTATTCGAGGACGGGGTTTATTTCGAAATCACTATTTTTAAATCACTGACACCAGTTCATCGTAAATCATTTGTGAATATTTTGTAATTTAAGGTTCCAGTGTCATTCTTATTTTGCTTAGATAGAATTGTAAATGTCTAGATGGTGTAAACTACCAAGTTGTACCGAGGTTTTTCTTATTATCCTCGAGTAAACGCCGCATTCTTCTGATTAGGTGCGGCGATTACATGCATGGTAATTTTGCTTCCACCTGCGGAGTTTGATCGAGGGCAGCATTTAATCGATTAAATACGGTATGACTTTGATGACAAATGAAATTGAAATAACAAACGATACTTGTGTTATCTCGTCAGAACGGATTCTTCAGGACAAGTTTACAACCATCAGCTTCAAATTCGCTACCGCGCATTGGACCTGCTATCCGAATGGATTGATGGTTACTATCAGTTTGACTTCAAAACAAGTCCTAACTTAATCAAGGAGCTGTTAGCCTTTGTCAAAGATGAGGTAGGAGTTTGCGGTATTTTTTTTTTCAAGCCCTTTCCGAAGCTTTATTTTGTAGCAATGCGTCTTCATTACGCAGCGAAACGACTGTAAACCAGCCAACCCCATCTCCCTCACATTCAGTGACCCGCCTCTCCGAATACTTTCCGGAGGTTCAATCAATCCGTTCATCGATCTTAGTTTTTAAACAAAAAATAATATTTTTTTAATCGTTAGTTAATCCTCGTGGACAGAAGTGAAAGAGGGCATTACCTGATAGAACTTATTGTGGAGAAACAGAAACAAGACTTGAACAACAATTCATTGACAGAAGAACCCACAGATTGTGTGGCTGTTCTCCAATTAGAAGACCCACAAGGTAAGGTTCTAAAAAGGTAAAGGCCCGAACGGCTGGAGCTTATCTCGGTTTCCTTAGCGTATAGCATGCCTAGGAGAATTGCTATTCCCTCCTGGACGGGATGCTAGTCCATCACAGGGTTACCCCTCAGCAGTATAACGCCGGTATACATTTTACACCTGTGTGAAGAGAGACGAAGTGGAGCACTGTTCCTTGTCTAAGAAAACAACGCGACGGGCAAGGCTTGAACCCCGGACCTCCAGATACGGAGTTCGAGGTATTAAGCGCTCGCCAACACACGCCTCCACAGAAGACCCACAAGGTAGTCAATAAAACTTGCTGAAGATGCTGTTTAAAGTGAGATTTCTTTGCTTTATTTCTCCTCAGCTCTCGGTGTTATTGAAGGGAAAAAGGACTCCTTGAAAAAGGTTTGTATCACCTTGTTTTGCCGTTTTCCTTTCTTGGAGACGCATTATTTAAATGGGACTTAGTGCGAGTTAGCGGGGAGTTCAGGTCATGGGGGTTCTTCTGTATTTGACATTACAACAACAAAAATTAAGTATTGTACACCCTGTCGCTTTTTTAAAGAATGGCAGTAAGAACAAGTAGGCTCGATCATTGCCCATTACCAGCCGCTGTTCGAGAAATGAGCCCGTGCTTCCGGAGAGGAAGACCAGACCCCAAAGAGTGACAGAAATCGTGCCTACATCTAAACATAGTTTAGGGAAAAATTTTGGTGTTGTACGTATGAGCGTTCGTCAATGGAACCTTTTCCTCATTTCATTTGTGACCGACATCAAACTTTCCGTTGCAGCTGAAATTTATTTTTCTAGCCTTTGGTTTGTCTCTCTAGATTATATAGCTTTGCTTTTACTGATTTACGACTCACCCCTCCCCCCGCACCTTCTTTGCAAAATAGTAAAGCAATTCTAATGCAATGACCTAACGGCACACGTAAAAATGCGACATTTCCGGTGAGACGCTGTCTATAAAAATTCGAGAATAATCATATCGTATAACATCAACCGCGGCAGGATTAGCTCAGTTGATCGAGCGTCTGACTGTAACTGTAGAGCGGGAAGTCGTGGGTTCGATTCCCGGGGCCGGACCAATACTCAGGGTCTTTAAATAACTGAGAAAATAAGGTACAGCCTTTTCCCTGCAATCGACAAGACCTTCGCGTGGCTTGGATGACCACGTAAAGTAGCAGACGTAAAAATAGTGTCCCCAGTTAGTACTTTCGTGTTAAATACATTGACACTCAAAAAAGTGCTTTTTAAAATGTATTCATATTTAAATCTTGGAAAAAGAAGGTGAACATCCAAAGAGAAGTACAAATTTGCTCTTTCCTCTTCAGCCTTCAAGCAGCCGAAAGGCCAAATCACCAGTTCAGTGCTTCAGAAGAGCCACACCCGAAAAGGAGACCACATACAAAGCCACTCTTTACCTAAAGGCACTGTCAGTTTTGGACCACTCATCAAGAATCCTAGCCGAACAGCTTACGCTGATTCAACAGGTAACATTTATCACTGCATTTAGTGAATACTGCAATTAGTCAAAAAATTAGAGAAGTGCATCCTTGCTACACATGGACATTCTGTAAGGTTAAGATCGTGAATTAGCCAAGGGAACGATCGAATCCCTATGCCCCATGATAATTACTTGAAATCAGTCGGTTTGTAGAGTGGTACTCACTAGTTTAGTTTAAAAATTAACAAACATTACAAACAACAAAAATAAACTTTAAAAAGCTTTTTAATAGGTAATCAAGTTCCTACAAACCACAATTGCAATTCTTATTAATTAACTTCAAATGTGTCTGTCCTAACTTTTTCTTTATTTGCTGCGTAATTTATACCTTCTAATACTGAGTGCTTTAAGCTGTTATTGTTATGTTTCACTCAATTTAATGACCGCCACATCTCTTTTAACTATGCGTAAGATAAACGCAAGACTAGCTGTAGGCATTTATCAATAGATACAGAGTTCTGTCCTTAAGTAAAACCGCTCATCTGTTTTGTGTTGTCTTTCAGGATTTGTTCTTTCGTATTCACCCAATTCATTTCTTAAATTCCCGCGCGTATGGCATTGGTGTCGGTAGAAGCCAGTCTCCCTCCAGAGAACGCGACAACATCTTTGGCTTTAGCACTGGAAGTCGCCGCATCTCAGAACTGACTGGGTCAGAGCAGGGACCCCTCCCATGGGAACAGAATTTGTATGTCAGTGAGCCCAGCAGTGATGGCGCTTTAGAGGAACTCTTGGAGCATGCGCAAGATGTGTCGTTGTGGGTTGCTGTCGAGATCTGCAGCGCATCTTCAGTGAAGGTGAATTCCCTTGAAGAATTGACTCGTTCATAGGAGACAGCGTGTCTGAATGGTCAGCACGTCAAAATCCCGGTCCGCAATTTGTTTCTCGGTGTCCTCTGCTCATTTTTTCTTTTTGCAGACTGCTTTTATTCCTGCCATTTGAAGGTTTTTAATCATGTTATGCTTCGTTAAGACTAGAAATACGTGAATCACAGAACCTCGCGAGGCTCGGAGGAATCAGAGGGCGGTCAGTAAAATGTTAGAGGGTTGCAGAGATAGGTTTCAACACCGGCTCTAAATTTGGAAGCTGAGATAACCCGTTAACTTTACTTTTATTGCAAAACTACCGCTATGAAAACTATTAAAACTTCAATTTTAAAAGCAGACTTTGCAAACACAAAATAGCTTTTTAGGCCCGAAAATTACTGGGACTGTCGAGAAACGGAACCCTGGTTAAACAATTTTCCCCAAGCAAAAAGCTTCTGCTGGAGACAGCAAAGTGTTTGCGGTCGTTGTTGTATCGTCACGCAACGCTCCTCCGTGGAGACTACAAAGTGTTAAGTCTTATTTTTTATTATAGGCTCAACTGGCACTCATCACAAAGTTCGTCAATGCTGCACGTTACTGCTGCGAGATTCGTAACTACAGCACCTGTATGCAAATCATTGACGCTCTGGAAATGTTCGTTGTCAAACATTTACCGGTAAGTTATCTATTGTTCAGTATGATACTTTCACCCTCCAAATATTCTCATTTGTTGCGCACTGTCCATCTTATAGTAGTAACTCACAATATGAACTTAACAGTTGATCCGAACAATTCATTCGTGGTGATGATATCATTAATTCTTACGACCGTGTTAATGACGGGACGGAGAGACTTTGTTTTTAGGGGCCATGTGCACTTGCTTTGCAAATTATTTGTCAAAAATTGTGGTCTACAACTGCGGAGATCGTCTTCAATTCCTTAAAAAAGACTTTTGAAAGCTTGCCAGTCTTTAAGAGCGCCATCCTGTTTCCTCGGTCTTTAATAATTTTTGTCAAAGGTCTTAATCCAAGTTTTGAAGAAGTCAATGAAGCAGTTTAAACGCCACGCGATAAAACTTACGTTTTGCCTTCAGTCGGCCGGTTTTCCTCGCGAATCTAGGTATTTAGTCTCAAATGTCAGCCGCGGCTCCTCCCCCCCTACACCTGTGAGGGGCGGGGGGGGGGAGACGCGCCCCCCACGGGTTAGGGAGAGGAGACGGATGACGGGTTTTCAATTCTAATTTGATTTGAAAAGAGATATTCAGAGGAGACAAATCAATTTTGTCGCTCTAGTGACAGCGTAAGGACCAGGTACAGACTTACAAGCCATAAGGTTTATTTTGCAGACCGTATTTAGCAATTTCGTTGGACAATCGAGTTGTAGAAATAGCTCGAAGTTTGTGCATTAGTATGCTATTCTTGTCAAATTTAATAAATGATAGCTTCTTGTCTTGGTAGGTATGGAAGCAAGTACCCACTAAAACAACGGAAGTCCTGGAAGAACTCAAGGCTGTTAAGGTGGGGAAACCCTTGTTACAAAAGCGACTTCGTGTAGAGTGTACAAGGGGTTAACACACTCGAACCTCCCGTAAGCGACCACCCAAAATGCAAAGCTTAGTTGTCGCTTACGGGTGGTGATAGTTTACAAGAATCCAACCATAGGGTGTCTCTTCCGAGAAGAGGGTCCAGACATATCTGCTTTATGGAAGATCATGGCTAAGTTGCAATATATGTAGTTCCATGTTGTCGCTAAAGCTTCTTATACTCAGGGTAGCAAAGTACATACAGCGAACGTAGATGTCAAACAAGCAGTTCTTACAAGTGGTTAAAAATGAACATTATTAAACAGTCAACCACGAAACGTGGTCGCGGTCGCTTACAAGATGAGGTCGTTTACGAAGGGTTCCAATTGTAAACCTGTGTCTGCGAAAATTTTGGTGTTTCAGATGGATGGTCGATTATAGGAGGTGGTCGCAACTGGAGGTTCGACTGTATTTAATCAAATGGTAAATTAAGCACCTTCTTTAAACATGGCATTAAAGTCGTGTTTTATTTTTTCCCTCGCCAGGTTTTGTTGAAAACAGACAGCTCTTGGTTGATGAAAAGTGAGGCTTCACGTGACAAACCCACAATTCCTTGCTTTTTACTGTTTATAATTCACGTGCAGCAACAAGAGCTTGGAGGCTTCACGTTGCCTAGCAACATGTACAAATGGACCAAAATGAGGTACACGGTGTTGATATGTTGGCCATCGACACTCTTCCCTCTGAAAGGACTAAGGCAGAAAATTAAATTGACAAGCATTAACAACAGAAAACGTGAAATGAGCACGATGGTTTTATGAATTGTTCAAAAAATGAGCAGGAGTGTATTATCAGGTTTAAAACTCTCGGCGAGTTTTTAAACCTGATAATACGCTACTGCGATTTTTTTTAATTGCTTCAAAATCTCTGATATAGATCAACTCTTTCTTGCACTAATATTTAGATTTGGGGTTATTTTGGTCAAAAAATTGGACGTAAACTTTAGCCGTGTCTTTATAAGATTTAAAGAACCTCATTAAACAAAAATGTTTTGTGTTTTTTCTTTACGAATTATTAATGAGTTTTTGAACTGTGAATTTTGTCTCAGTATGCGTCCACACTCGCGCTGAACTGCTAAAACCACCTAGTATAACGCAATAAACATTGTAGCCGGTCTCAAATAAGTCCCCCCTTCTAATATATCCCTCTCTTCAGGGGACGAAAGTTATTCATCCCCACCCCCGAACCTCTCCCATTTTCTTAAATGATAGACTGTATTAATAAATTATGACTTTATATTAGTTTAATTAACTTTGCTCTCCTTTCTTTCAATTACAGATCCGTGGCTCGTTTAGTGGATCAACTTAGATTGTTTAAGCAAATGCGGTACGCCTTCCAGGTTGATGAGGATTTGAAAGCAAGACTAAAACAGCGCATTCGCGAAAGCAAAAATGAAAATCTTCACGCCCTTGCTTCAGAGAATGCCAGCAACTTTCACTTATCTTCATCGCATGGCTCGAGAAAGTTTCACGATGCTTTTAAAAAGATGAAAGCTACATTTGGCGGCCATGGAAGTTAATCATTCCATCTCAGTAATTTTCAGCGGTTTTAAAGCCGAACTTTGGATCGAATCTTTTTCATATGTTGTAACTGTATCATAAATTATTTCGAGATAGTTTCGAGTTTTAAACGCATACCGAAATTGTCCTGAATAAGCCATCCTAGGTATTTTAAGGTTATTTCATCGCAAGTTTAGGTTCAACTTGGTTTAGGCATGAAACGTGGGTGTAATTTAGGCTTGCCATATAGCCTTTTGCAATTCGCAAGTTGACGAAGGCTGAGATTTTTCACCCGGCTTGTATTAAATGCGCACACTAGTTAGGATTTTAACAATTTATTTTATTTATTTTATTTTTTAGAAAAAAAATTAGACTATTTATATTTCCAAAGGAAACTCCATTTTCCACCTACGGTATTGTAAATTTGTATGAAATACGGTTTTGTGTAATATTTTATTTAATATTTTTCTGATGATTTTAATGATACCTTCTCGGAGATATATTTCGAGCTATATTTTATTTTCAGATTAATCTAATTATTTATTTACTTATTATGATGGTCGGGTTTCCCGATAGTAAATTAAAGAAATAGAATAGTAGAAAATGATGAAAATTGAATAAAAAGAGTTGTCATTTTGAACATGCTTTATCGCATAGCATTTTTCTTCCCTTTGAACGGTGGAGAGATTCACGGTCGTTTATAGCACATTGGCCCTAGCTTTACTTGTCTTCTTACACATTCGAAACCTGAGCCTTATTAACCTTTGGGTTTTTGTGGATCCAATCAAATAGAAGACGAAATTCCGCACTTTCTTTTTAATGGTTCTGAATACTCTTTGATTAGGAATAATTTTTACAATAAAGTTAAGATTCTGATTCCAAATATTATCCCGTTACCTCATCTACCTTATCAATGAACTGATGAACACATCTTATTACTTTATTCATACTTCTACATGAGAAATTTCTAGAATTTGATTGGCTTAGAGCAGTGGTATTCAGCTTAATTTGAAATACCTACATGTGAAAACTACAAACCTTTTGCGGGTAGTAGTATAAACAAATAATAGCATGATTTGTACGTGATATTTGGCATAAATACCACTCGTTATATTTCTAAATTGTCTCAAATTTCATTCGTCTAACGGCTCGTGAAATTATGTATAACAATTTTGCAATATCACTCGTGGTATTTATGCCAAATATCACTACAAATCATGCTATTACCTATACTAATTTACAATTCGTGAAATATATTTCAGCTTGCGTTAACTTTCGCGACGAATTATTAACAAAGCAGTTTAATTGGTCGGTGATTAAATTTTAGTTCTTATTCTTAAAACATAAATGTAAATAGCTTTTGCAAGGCTGTATGTACTTGTACGGTCCTGCAATATTAATAAAGCTTGTTGTTCTTGTATAGGTAAGACATTTTGCAGACCTGACCTCTAGCTGAATTTATTCGCGGCAACTTTTCGGGCCCGGAAAGCTGTTTTGTGTTTGAAGAGTTTGTATTCAAGAGCAAAGTTTCAATAATTTTGAGAAGAATACGATGAAACTACCAGTTGAGGAAGCAAAATTGGCTTGTGCGCCAGGAAGTGTGCTACTATTCAACTGGTTTGGATTTTAAAATTTGTCCCTCACGCCCGAAAAGTTACCAGGCCTTTCGAGAAACGGGCCCCTGGAGAAAGAGAAAGAAAGCGTTCGGGGCACGATGGGAAGGAGAAAGACAGAAGAAAGGCGCCTTTTCCCATCTTCCCCCCACCCCACCCTCGCACCTTCTATTTTTCGATTATACGGCACTTGCTTGCACATCTCCCATAATGCACCTTATTTGCCCCCCCAAATTTTGCATAACCTAAATGTGTTTCATTTCTCCTGGGTATTACAGCCGTCTTAAGAGAAATTGAAAACAATGCTTATGCAAAGAAAGGTTTGGGGTTCATATAAGGTGCATTGTCAGTGGAGATGTGCCAGTGGCGTAATGCTTATTGGGACACCCAGCGGAAGCCTCTGCCGAGGAGAGAGCGTTTACTGGGAAAATCAATTTTGGTGTTGTCCCAGGGTGTCCGGTGGGGCATTTGTACCCTATTTTAAAGCCCACCTAGGGGGTTTTGGTATGAAACGCCCGGCCCTAACGTGGGGCATTCGCAGTTCTTCCTAAACAAAATGACAAATGCCCGGGGGGATGGGTACGCTTGGAATTTGCTGAGCCATAAACCTAATTTTCAGGAGTAAGAGCCTCGATGCCTCACGAGTTGCATTCTAAGCTAGTTCTCGTCTTTCTCTTGCTCTATGATGGCCTGCGGAAAAAGAGGCACTACGGTCCTTTTTTTTCCTGATCCCTCCGAGTTTTTCTCTCAGTCTCTCCCCTCCCCTGCGCTATTATGAATGCAATAATTTTACCTTCAAAGTACATGTATAAATTTTCCCAATTAATAGCTCTAGGGTGATTATAAATTTTTTTTTTTTTATATATTTCACTATGTTTTTGGAAATTTTCAATTTTCTTTTTATCTTTCTACTCTGTGTCAAAGGACACTTCATGGTTATGTACACGCAATCAGTTTTGATTCGGACTAGAAAGGAGCCAATGAAAATAACCTAACAACACCACGTGATACATGCGACCGTTTGCGGGTGTTTTCAAATACAAAAGCGTGCAGTTGTTTTTGTAACGTGTTTCCCCCCAAGAAATATAGAATATTTTAGTGATTTATCAAGTAAAAATGGAAGTTGACAGGTAAGGGAATTCCTTCATATCATTTTTACAACCTCCATACTTTGCTTGAATGCAAATCACATACAACTTTCGGGAGTTTAACAACAGCTCGTCGTTTCGACATGATGGCGGACTCGACTATTGCAAAACTGCATTCACGGCGGGAGGATTTTACGGATGAAATCCAATGTGATTTGTTTTCAATTCCTTCCCATACTGTTATTGGGATGATTTTTGTCAAGCGAGGGCGGTAATCAAACCTTTTGTTTTGCTGCAGTACAATTTAAACTAGCTTCTAAAGCTTTAAGATGAATAAGCTTAAATTCAATCCAATACCTAGCCTACCTCCATCCAATTTGTTACAAAATTTGTCGGCTGTATTCACAGGCTACACAATTTGATTGAAGGTTTTAAACGCTGTTTTACTTATTTCTATCCATATCGATAAAGCTGGTTCTTTTTTAATTGGTTTTCGTGGCTGACTTGATAATTATTTTTTACTTTTACTTTGGAAATTGACAAAGTTCAATTTGTAGCTTACACAGTTCACGTAAGCTAAATCATTCACTTTGCACCAGTGAAGAATGTTAAAGACAGCTGATTACAAGCTAATCTCCGCTTATTTCAGCTCTAACAGGAGCAACAATAGAAATCTTTCGACATCAAACGTTGAAGAGAGTGTCCAAATGATCAAATCGGAAGTGATACCATGTCTACAGAACGCAATGGAGACACTACAGAATATCTGGAGCGAAATTGGGTTGCAAGAGGATCAAAAGGAAGAAAGGACTAAAACTGTGTTGCATCATCTTCGAAATTTACTTCAAGAAATGGTGAACGAGGAAGAAGAGTTGAAAAGCACGCTTCAAGCAAATGTGGAAACTTGTACAAAAGAGCTAGAAATGTTGAGTGGAGAATTGGGGCTTCCAGTTTTTAAGGTATGTAAGCCTCTTTTTTACCTAATTACATGCTGTTCATGGAGAAAAGGCCTCTATGCAATATTGTTTATCCTCAACACAGGAAAAAAAGTTCTTGTTTTAAGGATGCATACATGTACAATGTAAGCTTATCTTACCGGTAAAATTTGATTTCAGGTTTTTGTTTATAATTTTGGTTTAACCTAGGTTGATTCACAATTTCCTTTGTGTCCTAGCCCTAGGAAACAAAGCAAATTGATATTAACCTAGATTGGTTATCGACATTTCAGCCAGGATTAATGTTGCAGCATTTAATTTTGCCTTGATAGCCAGAGAAACCAATGAGTATTCTTATGCTAGAAAATGAACTTCGAACAAAGGTGGACAGCCTCAAACTGGTATGTTGCAATAGTTGACTTTCAATACTCCTTGTCATTAAATAAATATTTAACAATAATTCCATGGGTGCACGTTGGATACGAGATGGTAGCAAACGAGGCGCGTAGCGCTGAGCTGGCTATAATCATTATCCAAAAATGCCGACAAAATATCAAGAATAATTCTTCTTGTAAAAACAACAATTTTCAGCTT